GGGAATGCATTTTGTTTCAGTAGATCCGGAGCAGACTCATCGGGGTTCTTCAGCACCCGCTTCTGACGACCGACCAATCCCATGCGTGAAAGTCCAAAGTCGGTGAGCTTCAAATGTCCCTTTTGGTCGATGAGAAGGTTATCGGGCTTCAAATCGCGATGCACAATGCCTCGGCTGTGAAGGTGTTCAACTCCAAGCACCACCTCACCAATGTACTTCTTGGCCCAATCCTCGGGAAGACCCCCAAGAACCTTGACAAGTGATGAGCAGTCACCTCCGTTGAGATATTCCATCACCAAATAGAGATAATCCTTACTAGAAAATGTCCAATAAAGCTTGGCAACAAAGTCACTCTCCCCTTGCCACATCATGATGGCACGTTCGGCTTTGACGTTGGTGACCTGATTCTTGGCAATCATGTCGGCCTTCTTCAGAACTTTCATTGCATAATACTCGCCAGTGGCCTTCTTTTTCACCAAGTAGACACTGCCGAAAGCACCTTTGCTGATTGGTTTGATTATTTCAAAATCGCGGATCGACAATGGCGCAGGCCGAGGCTGTTGCTGGCTCATCGAAGGTAGGCGTGGGGAAGGTGGGGGCTTCGTAATATCTGAAGAATTCGCCGAGGACTCCCGGCGATGGTGGCGGCAGTGATGAAGGGCCAATTCACTTGCGTATGCAGACGGAGATGCTATCGGGGACGGCAGGCTTTCACCGCCGCTAGACATACGGGGCTTTGGCATGCGCAACGGGGAATGCGGACCTGAAATTCGAGCGGGAGAAGGCTGCCGACGAGGAGAACTCGAAAGTCCGGGCAGTACCAGGCTCCGGCGCTTTCGATCGAAGCTCCTCTCAGATGAGGGTGACTCTGTTCTTATAGCTCCCGGGAAGACAGAAGGCAAACTGCTGTCGCTAGTCTCACCAGCATCAATTTCCGATAGGGAAAGGCCCAGTCGAGAAGGCTGTGAGGTACCCAGGAGTCCTGCAGCACTCTTATAGGATCGCGGGGTAGGACATTCCAATGGGCTGTTAGAACCTGTGGATACTGCTGCGGAGGAGGGTCTGCGCTCCGATTTTGAGAGCAAAGACCGATCTGGCGAATTACGCATTGACAGAGTCAGCGCAGATGTCGGTCGCCGCGGAGAGGGTGCTGCTGGATAGGGCCTTTGTTGCGGTTCTTGGCTCATGATTTGTGAGAGGGAATCTTCCTCGGCAACAGTATTGCTATCGCCCGGAGTAATATTGCCGTCGATGATGCTCTCAGGCGCCAATTCTTCATCAGATGAGCAAGATGAATCACTGAGCTGACCAGCAGCTATGCGCTCCGCCTTGCTTAGCGCTGCCCCGATACATTCCTCGACTAGGACTGTGTATTCTATGCGAATTCGTTCGGCGTATTCAACAATCTTGCGATGACGTACAACGGCATCCACTTTTGCCTTGGCGACTTGTTCAGTGTCTGCCGACAAAGCAGCGAGACCCTGTTCTTGTTCCAGGGTGTTGGTGCTCGGGGACTGCCACTGAAGAACCTGAGAGATCCGCGATTCAGATTGTGGTGACAGCGTCCGGAAGTCCTCTGTGTCTGTCCGGGAAGATTCCTTGATCATCGGCATACTAATCTCTAGTGAAGTATCGCACAGGTCAAGAACGAGTTCGACGATACGAGCCAGTGGTCTCCGAACTGTGAAGGAGCGCGGTCGGTTTGGAATAGCATCGGACGCAGAATGTTCGCGCGACCGAGGCGGCGTGCCGGGCGCTGAATTACTCTCTGAAACAGGACCGGATGACGGAGCAGAGCTCGCAGACGAGGGGCCGATGGCTAACCCTTTGTACTCCGCTTGGGGGAGGGGCATTGGATTTCCATCGCCCCCGATCAAAGGTCTGCCTTGTCGGGCCTCTAAAGCATCCAAGACCTTGACAATGACATGCCGATGCTCATTGAGGTTTTCCTGTGCCATTTGAACATCCATCTCCGCCCGATGTTCCTGCAGACACAGATCTGAGTGTTTCTCGAACCACCATGGCGTAATCTGGCGTTCACATATGCGACAGAGGACGGGGGTCGGGGCAGGATGCTTGGAGGAATCGGGTTCTGTCGCTGCAGCCTCAGCCAATTCGGTCAAATAATTTGCTAATACCTCCGCCCCAACACCCAAAGACTCCACTAGCAGAGGCGGCAGATCGATTGTCACTTCTCTGGGCTCGGTAAGAGGTCGTAACATCCACATGGTCTGTATTCAGAAGGTGTCAGTGGTATAAACGGCGGCGGGCAACAAGACATTGTTGAGGTTGTTGAGGTACGCACATGGCCAGCTTCATCGTCCGTCCGGTCATAGACCATGATTCCCTGTCCCTCCATGTTGAGCACATTGTGATTATGCTCTTCCTCCTCCTGGGACTTCTCAACGTTGTCCTCTGTCTTTTCCCCGATGGCCCGGTTCTCTCTAGCCGCCGGTGGTGGTTCAGGGGCGTACTTCAGGACAGAATCCGGTCCCATCTGGAGGGCGAAGCGAATGAAACGACTCCGCGAATCATCCTGCTTCATGGATTCGATTGCATCGCGGAAGACATCCTTGTTGCCCAACAGAATTTCCGATATCATATGGCCCTCCACTGACTCAGGGGGTGAGCCGACCACCTGCTTCCACGATGGGCTGACCCATTTGACGCAACCCTCCAGGTCCATATCCACAATGATGTTCAATGTCTGTTCTGCCGCTTCCTTCAAATCCTCACGTTCCTCGCGCATATTATCACTCAATGTCCGAGCCATCTTCGGATCGATATTCCGAGCCTCCTGCCGCAACGCTGTCACGGCAGGAGGCGCGAGAAATTGTGGTTTGGGGGAATCATTGCTGGCCATGCTGGCTCGCTCCGGCGACCGAGCGGGATTCATGGTTCAAGGGGGTAGGAAGGCGACAGTGCGATGAATCGAGGTAAATTGAATAAAACAAGAGTATTGTTCCAGCGAAGCAGGACCGTCTGCTGGGCAGCGCGGGTGCCCTTAATCGAGGTTATTGATTCATCCGTAGCATCAAGTGTCCATAGTGAGGTCGTAAGACTTGGGAACAGATCAATGCAAGCTCGGAGTGATGGCAGTCCACCAATCCAACGTTAAATTTGTGTATTCAAAGGCTTCGAGACAACACAGAGGTTGAAACACGAAACGTTAGACGGAGGATAACGGAAGCCGTCTCTCTGCGGGGAATGGCGCGACAACGACGCGCTGGATCGTCAACCTCAGAGGAGGCTGACCCGAGAAAGGGAACGAAACTGGATCGAAATTGAGACCTAACGGTCACAGAAATGGGTAGAAGTGAGCAAGTCGAGAGAATGTTTAAGAGGAAGAGTCGTGATGGGGGGGAAATCGAAGGAGTCGAGGGCGGTGATTGGTGAGCTGTGCGTTTCCTGCACTACGTACTTCCCACCTCTCTGTTTTCTTTTTTTTTTTCTGTTGACTTGTCCTTTATTTGATATCTTGGACATTTACTGTGCATATATAGTATATGGGATCAAGATTTTGTACTATGTTGATCCCTTCTGTGGTGGGAGATGGCCATAGAGAGCTCCTATAGGTATTATATACATCTTATATTTGTAACTCAACGTCATGACATATCAAATAAAGGACGTGAAATACATCTGAATCTAGACATATACAGACAGTATTGGTACTATCTAGATAAGCACTATTCTAGACGTAGTACTTTTGTCTAAAAGCATCCAACCCATGTAGTATGTACTTCGTACTTCGTACCATATATATCCCTTCATGCCGGACAGCCATATTTCCACCAAAACTGCAAAATAGAAAAGGCCAAAAGAAAGAAAAAGAAAAAGAAAATATTTCTCCAAATCCATTGGACGCCACCGGATGTAGTTGTTAATTCCCCATACAATGAGAGCTCGCATTCCCTCTCCAACTGCATCACTTGCACTACAATATACTTGCACTACTGATATCTGATAGTATGAGATTAGGAGAGAGATATTCTGTGAAACAAATGGTGTAATAGGAGTATTCTATCCTCAATCCACACTTGTTCCACGGATATCTGGAAATAAAGAAACTGTCGATCTCATAATCCCTTGCTGGCATGATCCATATCAACCTGAGCCAGTCATATAGCACAATACTATCACAATTGGAGATTCTACGTGACTCCAATTCTACCCCCTCTCCTTAGAATATATCCAAACATCCTATGAATAGGCCCGGAATGTTCGGGGGCCACATTCAATATTGCTCCACCTATTTGTCTTCATCTTTTCCGACCTTCGAAGGTTTTCTTTTTTTTTTTTGGGTTCTGCGGATCTGCGGGGTAGTCAGCTGATGGTTTGGCTTCATTATTTTTTTGGAGATGATCTTCCATTGCTATTCTTCAATATAGGGACTACAGATATGATAGTGTCATGGAATAGGCTTATTCGCGACAATTTATTTCACTGTGACCTTGGAGCGAACAGGAGATACTCCCCGAGTAAACTTTACGCTTTCCTCTTCCTACTACACTATTTAGCCTGCACCGATATCCTATAGGCATGTATTAATGAATGGGTCATGTCTGTCTAGCATGAAACTCTACCTAGTCATGACGAGAGGTCATTACGTATAGGAGCATATACTAACTACAACATACTTTGGACACGAAGTCAGTTCTGTCCCACAATATATTCCGCATTCTCAATATGTCTTTTTGGGAAAACAACTCTCCCAGGTCAAATATAAAACCACAATCCTATTTGGCTGTAGCTTATACAGATAAGTCGTTGTATGAGGCAGAACATCAGACCCTGTGGCCTGAATTGTAAGGGTGACTACTTTATGCCTTGGTGCCTGAGGCAATTGATTTGTAATCACAACCATTCCACCTGGGCCCTCCAAGGTCGGAAGATTCCATTCATGAATCCCAAGTAGTCGAAGGCTTCCAATCTCAAGCATAAAGTACTAGAGTCTACTGTGCACTGGATCAAATTCCTCTTTCCCGTATACCTCAGCTATGCCCACAGCACCGGATGAACCTGCTAGGCGCAAGCGACCGGGTAGAAAGTATACGTCCCGAGCTTGTGAGGCATGCCGACAACGACGAGCTAAGGTAAGATCATAATTGTTCCACCAACTATTACTCAAAGTTTGTGCTAATATTAAAATAGTGTGATGGTGTTCGACCATCTTGCTCTCGCTGCCTTGACCGTGGCGTTCAATGCGAGTACTCCACAGCAGAGGACGGGCGGCAACCAGCACCTAAGTCCTATGTAGTCATGCTGCGCAATCGCATTGAACTGTTGGAGCGTGTATTGCACACGCATGGTATTGACCCTGATGCTGCCATTCAATTGATGATAAAAAATGGAGAGCCTAACCCTGAGTGGGCTCCGGCTTCCTCGAATGTTGATGACTTGTGTACTACGTTTGACGGCGCATTGACGCTTGACGAGTCATTAAATTTCGATCAGGATGGCGAGGTGCGGTATTTTGGACCGACAAGTGGGCGATTGCTATTTAGATCTTCATCAAAAGGCAAGCCTACAGTAGCCATTCTTTTTTTCGCCACAGTATAGAGGTTCGCTAATCATCTCCAGATTCGCCCAGCGAAGAGGCATATCAGTCCGATGGCCCTCCCATGCAGACTGGTGAAACACCGCCGAATGGGAGTACAGAGTCATTAGAAGAAAGCTTGATACCAGAAGACGAGCTTCAGTCGCACTTGCTCGACCTGTATTTTGAGTGGGAACAGCCATGGCTTCAGGTGGTAAACGAAAAACTGTTTCGAGAATCTATGAGATGTGGTGGGCGATACTTCAGCCCCCTTCTTTTAAATTGCATCCTCGCTGTAGGTTCACGTTACTGCGATCGCATAGAAGTGAGATCAGACCCCAATGATTCAAACACAGCCGGCAAAATATTTCTTGACAGGGCAGAAAGATTGATTCAACACGATCTCAGATGGCCCAAGATCACAACAATCCAGTCTTTGGCAATCATGGGCATGGCTTATATTGTAAGTGTGATATCCCAGACTTTTACCCAGCCAATCAAACTAATATCTGGTAGGCAATGGGGTCTGATGCTGCTGGCTGGCTTCACCAAGGTATGGCCAATCGCCTGGCCTTAGACATGGGTTTCAACATGGATCCTTCGGTCCTTTCCGGAGCAGTTGCTCTTCCACCCATCGAGATTGAGCTGCGAAGGCAGATTTATTGGGCTCTATATTGTCACGACAAATTGTCAGCGAGCTACACAGGCAGGGTGTGCACGTTACTGGTATGCTGTACCACAGGCAATAATTTTTTTGCGTCGAAACTCACGTTAATTTATCACACAGGACTCCCAGGGTGTCGTCAACAAACCATTCCCTTTATGTGCTTCGGATGTCTATTTGCCCTCAGCAAATGGCAATGGACAATTAAGGGCCGCTTCTCAAAGAGACGTGGTACAGTTGCATAGGGCAATGATTGACCTGTGTCGTATATTCGAGAAAGTCCTTCTTACATTGTAAGTCTACCATGTCATTTCTTACATCTACCTGTCTTACTGACATATATCGCTTAAGCTGGTCCCCAAAGCCACTCCTCCAACCCCAACAACGTTGCGCATTTTTTGAATCCTGTGTGCTTGAACTTAAGACCTGGTACTACGATCTACCTCCAGAGCTCAAAGTCGACCGTCAATCTGGTCCCTCCAGATTTCCTCACACCTACACTTTGTGCATGGTATACCATACTGTGTGCATTTTACTTTGCGTGCCCTTTCTGAGCAACAACTCTGCCACTCAAGATGTTGGCAATCCCCCAGACCCACAGACACAACAGAACAGCAGTCACAAAGAATTGGGGCCTGCCTGTAAACAGAAAGTCATGACCATATGTAGCAACTCCGCCCGAGGAATGTGCATCGTCGCCCAGAAATATAGACAGACATTTGGCAGCTTTAAGCTGAGCCCCATGACAGCCACACACTGCATCCTATCAGCGGCATCGATCATCATTGATAAATGGTGCGTTGATCCCACTGTGAAAACTGGGACAGGTAACCAGAGTTTGCGAGGTCCATCACCACAGGCGGCTGTGGGACTCTGCCTTCAGGTCCTGCGGGAACTCTCGACGTCCTGGAATATCGCGAAGCGTATCGGACGCAATCTGGAGAAATTATATTGCAAACGACTGAACTGTGATATTGATCACATGCCTCCCGCTCCTTCATTGGAATGCAATAGCCTTTGCACAATTCCATATCAACCAGAAGACGGGGATCTCTATCCAGGGCCGATGGCCCCGACTGAGTCCTTCCAAGGTCTGCCCGACCCGAAAGACCTGCATGTTGAAAACACCATTTTGCCCACAGCACTTCCAGATATCAATTGGTTTGATGTTCCAACTGCGAGCGATACTCAACATGATAACAACGACGTAATCGGACTTGGGGCAGCTTCTAACCCCGATGAGCTGTTCATCAATAATCTCGGCTTTGCATTCTCGGCCAATTCTCTACCCAGCGACTACAACATGTTTGATACCTTGAATCAAATGTATTTAGAAGATATATGGTGATATTTGAGAGAATGTTTTCCAATTTTGTTATTGGAAAGAGCTTGCATGCCACTCGGTGTTTTGTGCCTAGGTAAAAACGGAACCCTTATTTGCCTATCGGCCGCAGACATACTATTGTTTTGGATACCCGTCTTGTAGGTGCCTAGTAGGCTCAGCTTGCCGTCCTGATGTTTGCAGTTTCGGGACCTTGCATATCTCTTCTAACACCGGGGGAAAGTACAGAGTAGCGCCAACGTTGCCGCTTGACCCCCGCTATTTCTGATGTCCACTATTTTCGACAGCGACCTTTGATGTAGAAATCGGGTTCTGAAGTTGATCTCTGTATATCAGGTTGATATTAATATCTTCGCTGTGGGGACCGAAGGTTTTGATAGAATGCACTGCATTCTAGAAAGGGTGCATTTGAGGAATATTGTTGCTTGTTGCCTTGATATGTTCGGTGTATGCTCGATCTCCGTAGGTCTATCCTATAAGTTCCTCGGAAGTCAGTTTATGAGAAACAAGAATAGTGATAGTTGCGGGTGGTAACAAAAAATTGGTAGATGAAGACACGATCACAGACTATCATAAGAGAATGAGATGACGATGAAGAAGCTGCGACAGCATTTAGGGACACCGAAGCCATGTACATTACGAGGACCTCCCGAAATAATCTATACCATGGAGAAACACAACGCTTTCAACAAGTTATTCAGGTATCTCAGCTATTCAAAACCAAATTTCCCACATTCAATTGTCGTGTAGTTCCCAGATCAATTTCGTCCACACTTGAACTGCGCACCCAGTACATCTCCGGGATCATATCCATGGAAGTGACGTATCGCTGTACTCTTCAAAGCAGCTTGCGCAACAGAACTCGGAGAACCTTATCCTGCTTCGCGATCTCTCGGCCAAAGAACTTGGTGCTGGACTGGGTATACGCAGCAAGAGCGTCCTTGTTCCTGAAACAAATTGGGGTGACATCGGAGTTCCAGGAATCTAGAACATCGACGATGTTCACATGGACACGGGCCAGGGCCTACAATAGTAAGCAAGTGACTTGAAAATAGATAGTGGTATCGTCTTACCTTCTTGCACTGGGTGATTGAACTGAAGGAATCCTTGATTCCCACTTTAGCACATAGCTGTTGCCAAGTTGCGAGGCTAGAGACCCGGCAGCCAATCAACCGATCATACTCGCTATTCATGCAAGCATTCCAATTTCTCTTCCAAGTCTTGGATCCTTGTTTCCAGCCTCGCTGTAGGCCAACGAGACGAAAAGCATCGCTAATGGGCAGGTCCGGGTCATACTGGGCCCCAAGCTTCCGCAAAAGCTGGTTTGGATGCTCCGACGGACCAAGGGGGACCTTCATCGTAGTCGATGTCTACAGTTGACAACACTAGTTAGCTTGGTTAATCAAAATTTGTGGAAACTTGTGTTTATATACCTTTTTTGACACGAGGAAGGTAATGGAAGTGGTTTAGTACAAGATATGTTGTGAGATGGCATGAAAGAAGTTGTAGATGAATGGAATAGAGAAGTGAAGAGAAGAGAGTGAGAAATCAAGTGTGAAACATTTCATATTTGGCCGGAGAGCAAACGAAAAGAGGGATGGCACATTTGTGGGCGTTTGACCATCTGCCCACCTACCTATATCATATATGAGTGGGCGCCATTCGTGTCTACATCTTGCCACTATACATAGACATAATAAGACAAACACGCTGTACTTAATAGGATTGTGATAAATACCGGGCTTTATACTCATTTCACTTGCTCTGACACGTAACTATTGACATCGTTCTCGCTTACTTTGATAGCACAACCTTGGAAAGAAGGGAACGAGAACGTGGCCTGTGGACGTCATAATTAGAACGCACACACACACAGCACATGATACACAATACACAACATCTGAAGCCATCTATCAGCACCGATTACTATGGATCAACGGCTTGAAGGTAATGGCAGGGATGAATCGGCTAGCTCAGCAGAGAACGCCAGAGCTTCCCGGGAGTTTTTAGCATCAAATCTCGCACGCATGACCGATTCAGAAATCCTCAAACAGACCCTCAGCCCGAAGTCTGTTATCTTGACGGCCTCTTCCTTCGGCCGCCTTTCTCAAACTGCGAGTTCTCGACCCGACTTGCAACAACTCAACCAAATCGGAGCTGGTCTACAGGGAGCTATCTTCGAGCAGGTCGGGAAGCCGCTGGCCCTGAAAAAAGAAAGTCCAGGAAACGAAAAGCTACCATCAAACCTCTATCATGAGTATAAGATTCACTGTGATGTTTCGGCCGCATTCGAACATTACCAGTCTACCAACGGGGGAATCCACATTCCAAAACCTTTCGAATTGATCTCTAGGAAAGAGAATAGCGGGTTCTGGGATGAAATCTTACCAAAAACTCCCGAGGATCATCGAGTGCCTGGGAACCTGGTAATAATGGAACGGATTCTTCCATTACCTAAAGTCGTACGAAAAGCCTTGATCTCCCAATTTTGTGCCCCCGAACAACACCTTGATAGCGCTGGAATTGAAGCCCTCCTCAATTATCCTGAAAACAAGCACTGTCTTGTCCGTATTTATCTCGGCAAGGAAAATGGTACCATCAATCACGAGATTCCGCTACGAAACTTCCCTCTATGCCTTGAGTCGATGGAGCAAGTTGGCGTTGAGACTCTGCCGCTTGCGAATGCGATGGGCAAAGCCTATGCAACCTTAATTGGGCCGCGGCCGTCAACGGCGATGATGTGGAGTTTATGCTTGGAACTTCAGTCATAGATGCCCAGGAACATGGACCGGACTTTCAATACCGCGCCGTTCAGCTATATCTCTTAGATTTTGGACAGTGCGAGGAGGTAGACCTTACCCAGGACCCCGGTGTTGTTTATCAAGCTTTCAAAGGGGCAATGGTGACAGGGGATAATCAACGATTTATTCCACATTATCTGAGGAGCCCGACACTATTCACAGCATTCCGACAAGGATAAATTGAGACAGGCAATTTTATTCTATCAGATAAGCGGCTGAAGGATAAGTTCAACATGGAGGACTTTATGCAGGAGTATGAGGAGTATGCTGAGGACTTCCTGTAATAGCTTAGTTTGATAACGAGACTTGCTGTACCTGAGAATGAGTGGAAGATTTATAAAAATACACTTAAGAGGACCACTGAAAAAACTACCAAAATGACATGACCGCATAAGCGACGTACTATTCTTGTTTCTCATAAATTGACTTCCGAGGAACTTATAGGATAGACCTACGGAGATCGGTCGATACACGGAATATATCAAGGCATCAAACAAGTACGCTTAGTAGATATTAGCTAACAATGCGGGTTATAAAGATATCATCTACTACGACAAGGTCGAATATTATGAAGAAAAGTTGATCCCGCCAGAAACAGGCTAAATTTCCTACGATTTCATTCAACTCCGACATGATTTACCCCGCGCGACGACCGATCGTATACTTACATCGTATAAGGATTTGATCTATAGGGCTCATATCATTTCTGGCTGCTCGACACTAAAAGGAAAATTCCAATAGCCATATTGTTATTCTAGTGTAGTGTTGCGAGGCTAGAGATATACTACTGATATCATGAGCGCTGGACTAAGTAACAATATGACGCCGAGATTCGCATTAACCATCGACCTTACGCCTTTTTCCTGTGACATTTCCCCGCTCGCTGTGGCGGATAATGGGGTGGAAGGAAATCTAACGACTTCAGTAAACAATAATAACTTAGTCTATCAGAAACGACTGCACCTCATGTCTTCTATTGTCAGCCCATATAAAGCAAGGTATCTGCTTATGATATAGTCTTGTCTGACAATTTCTTGATTCAAGAATCCATCTCCAAGGACAATGTGTGTACATCAGGGATTATTTCCGCACACGGATCTAGCACCGCTATGCTGATCAATCACAGTTGCAGACATGGATGAATGCACACCCAATTGAATGGTGACTCTCATCGAGAATGAGTCAAAGCAGTCACGTCTACTCCCCGGTCCCCGGTGGTGTCTACTTAAACTCAAGATCTCTGATTTAGTTTATTTCTAGTCACAAAAAATAGGAAACACCCCTCTTATTATCAAACCATGTCGCTCTTACATGCTCTTCACTATGACATCAAGCCTGTCGCATCGTCTACTGTACCCCGAGAGCTTGACCCGACCACCGCGACCCCAGCTGAACATGTTCCAGACACGCAGGTCTCAGCAGAAGACAATCTGACCCCTAGAGATGGCCAACTTGTCTTTGAGCGGGCACTGCCCAGTCGGACGACCAGATCGCGTCGAGTGGTCATTACTGCATTGCTTGTTCTGGCTAATCTCGTACAGGTATAGTCAGAGCCGTCAACTTTCTTCAGAGCAGAAAATCCTCCAATACTGACAATATCAGATGACAGTCAATTTTGCAGGCATTGCTGGAGGAAGCGCCTTGAGTGAATCATTGGGCGTTGACGACACCTACGCCTCGTGGATCGCTGCTAGCTATGCGTAAGGCACAGAGTATCTAGATGTTTATGATTACACCATCTCACTAACCTAAATACAGTCTAACCCAAGGGACCTTTGTGTTGGTTAGTGGGCGATTGGGAGATGTTTATGGCCACCGAGAACTCGTCCTAGCCGGGGGTGCCTGGCTCACTATCTGCACTCTAGCCAGCGCCTTTTGTAACAACTTCTTCGCCTTTGTCACGATGCGGGCTCTAGCCGGTCTTGGAGGCGCGTTCATCATGCCTAATGCGGTGGCCATGATATCTAGCACCAATCCCCCCGGTCGCGTGCGAAATCTCAGTCTCGGTCTCTTTGGTGCGTCGGCACCAGTCGGAGGATATTTTGGGGCCTTGTTTTTGGGTGCCTTTCTACAGCGGACAGAATGGAAGTGGTTTTTCATCTTCATGTAGGTGATAGACTCCGTGAACCCGGATCATAAGTAGGTAGTGATGCGTTGGTAACACAGTGCCTGCCTCGGTGTTACCACATTCACTCCTCTCTGGGCTTTGAGTCCGCGAGAACCACCAGTCGATCGGCATGGAAAGATCGATTGCATTGGATCGGCTCTTGGAACAAGCTCGTTGATCTTGTTTAACTTTGTTTGGAAGTAAGTTGTTGAGATTAACCCGAAGGATTGCATGTTAACATTCCACAGTCAAGCACCGAGTGTCGGTTGGTCAACCCCCTATGAGATTGTTCTCCTGATCAGCTCAATCATCCTATTCGGGGGCTTCTTGCTTTGGGAAAGGAACTATGCCGCGGAGCCGATCATGCCATTCGACATCTTCAAAGCTCCATCCTTCCTCATGCTGCTATTGGTGGTGCTTCTCAATTATATGGCCGTAGGAACCTTGATCTGGTACCAAGTCTTATGGCTTCAAAAAGTCTGGCACTGGTCTCCCCTACAATTTGCCGTAGGCTGGACCCCCTTCGTGATCTGCGCCACGGGCGCTGCCTGTCTTGCAGCATGGATGATCCCGCGAATGGCAGCACAATGGATCCTGGCCATTGGAACCGTCACGATCTTAATTTCCAATGTGCTCATGGCGACCGTACCAATCCATCAATCTTACTGGCCGCAGATTTTTCCTTCCGTGGTCCTCTTCTCATTCTGCCCGGACTTCGTGTACACGGCTGGTCAGATCATTGCCAGCAACTCCGTGCGTCGAAATCAGCAGGGAATTGCCGGGTCGGTGATTGGCACATTGAATCTATACGGAAACAGTCTCGGACTAGGTTTTGCATCTACCATTGAGGTGCAAATTGCCCGCCGCTCGGGTAGCCAAATCACGGGATATCGAGCGGCACTTTTCTTCGGTGTTGCCATCAGTGCCGTAGCACTTATACTTGACGTGTGCTTTGTCCGACTAGTGAAAGACGATCGAGAGGGGTGGCATGAGGATGACCGCGTGGAGGAAATTGAGCTGACGGAGCAGGCCGAAGCCACCGGTGTCCATCTACCCAATGTAAACAACTAGACTAGACACTTAACTGAGGAAGCGGCAAAATATCGGCAGACCGAGCGTGGGGTACCGGACAAATGCCGTATGGGCTTGAGCGGAAAGTCTCACCAAGTGGAGAGAAGGTCGAGAATCTATTTGTCAAGTTTTTCCCGGGTCACATCCACGATACTTCAGACCGTATGGCCCGTTTCAACATACCATGTCGTATGTTGTGTATATCTTTCCCCACATTCCATTGGACTCGAATTAAAATGGCTTTGCGGGGATATGATCTCATTCATGATCCCGGTGAGAGAAAAGAGAGGGAACAAACTGCGGAGAGGCGGGGAAGGTGTAAGGGATTGGCGCCGTATGCCGAACTCGGATTCCGTGTGGATATCGGCTTTTCTGACTTCCAAGATTTGTTTTGGCTTCTTTGTTTTGGCCGGTTTCTCCCGGGTTTTCCCGGTTTCTTCTGGCTTTTGTGGGGTTTTCGGTGTTTTCCTCGCGTCCCGTGAGAGACGGTGAAGTCCGAGAGCCGTGATCCCGTGACCTTGTGACCCTAAAAAGTCCCCGTGCCGATACCAGAACACGGGGTGAAACTTCCCCCCCCTCATATTCCCCTTTAGTCAGATCCAATCAGATGCCTCCTCGGGACGTCTCCTGCTCTCGGATGCCGAGTCGGTCAACCGCAACTCCACTGTAGTATCCCCCCCCCGCGTACGATTTACATACGATCTAGGCGTGGGGGTACCGGGGAAAAATACTAGCGCGGGATGAACCATGAGAAGAGTCTTTCCGCTTAAATGCAAGAATCTGCTCTTTCTATTCCCCGGATTCTCTGGCCTTGCTCACAATCACACACACAATGGCGGACGATATCTCACGGGAAAACCGTGACCGGATGGAGATTGAGGCCGAGAAGGAACGTGTTGAAAATCTCGAACACATCGCCTCACCACAGCAAGATGGCGTGGCTCAGATGGATCCAGCTCGCCGGATAGTCGTCGAGAAGAAGCTCAAGCGGAAGCTTGATGCCCGGTGCAGTCTTTTTGTCGCCATCTACAGTGCGTACCACCTTGTGTAGTGTTTGAACCCACCACCGTGCGGCATATACATCAAATTGACTTCGCTGACACCGCTCAATAGTCATGAACTACCTCGATAGGAACAATCTAGGAGCTGCTCGTCTCAAGGGTCTGCAGGAAGATCTCAAACTGAGCAATACCGACTACTCTACATGTCTTAGTATCCTCTATGTGGGCTACATCATCATGCAGGTACCTTCCAACATGTTCATCAACCGTATCAGCCGGCCCTCGCTTTACATCTCCGTCGCCATGATATTGTGGGGCGTTATCTCCACCTTGTCGGGAAGCACTAAGACCTTTGGTGACATGGTGGCTGTCCGTTTCCTGCTGGGGTTCGTTGAGGCAGCGTTCCTGCCCGGTGCCTTGCTTATCCTCTCCAAGTGGTACACCCGTCGGGAATTGACGACCCGGAACGCCATCCTGTTCTGTGGTAACCTCATCTCCAATGCATTCTCTGCACTGGTTGGTGCTGGTGTCCTATCCAACATGCAAGGTGTCATGGGCCATGCCGCGTGGCGCTGGCTCTTCTGGATTGAAGGCTCGGTGACCATGTTCCTCGCCATCCTTGCCGCCTTCATCTTGCCTGACCTGCCACACAATGCGCGCGGCTTCACTGAGGAAGAGCGCCAAGTTGCACAACTTCGCATGCTCGAGGATGTCGGCGAGGCTGACACCGATGGTGAAGAGCTTGGGGCTCTCGGAGGCCTGAAAATGGCACTTGTGGACCCCAAAATCTACGTAATGATGTTTACCTTTGTGGCTTATGTCGTGGGACTTTCTTTTAATGCTTTCTTCGTAAGTATTTTCATATCAAAAGCACCATTGGACATTTTACTGACTTGCTGCATAGCCTACCCTCACTGGTACGCTCGGATTCGGATATGTCCCGACTCTTTTGATGAGCGCGCCTCCCTGGGTCTTCTCTTGTATCTTCTCTGTCATTAATGCATGGCACGCGGACAAAACACAAGAAAAGGTCTGGCATATCATCGGCCCGATAGGCATGGGAGCCGTCGGCTTCATCATCTGCATGGCCACCAGCAACATCGCAGCTCGCTACGTCGCGCTTTTCCTGCAGGCTGGTTCCTACGCAGGATTCATCGTATTCTACTCATGGATCAGTTCTTCATTCCCCCGTCCTCCAGCCAAGCGAGCCGTCGCCATTGCTATGATCAATGCCTTCAGTCAATTGGGCAACGTTGCTGGCTCATACGTCTGGGACTTGGAAGATAATGGATATCGCTCCAGCTATGGGATTGTGCTGGCCATGTTCGGTGTCACAGTCGGCGGATGCTGGTATTTCCGCTCGATGCTGGTCAGCTTGAACCACCAGCTCGAGGAGGGCGAGCTTGTCGATGGTGCTAGAGGGGATTCGACTGAGAATGACATCATCGATCACCCAGACGAGTCGCTACGTATGCGCAAGGGTTTCAGGTATCTCGTTTAGGTATGGATCGGTTCTCAACTTTGTTAGAATTCCATAGTCAGCATGAGGAAACTCCTCAACAATTCAATTGCTCTCTACACAACTGAATTAGACGTCTTACTCTCTGTAGACCGTCAGTAAAAAATTCATAGTGCCGGGCGCACAACAATACTTCCAGGTGTTGGTGCGCTCCTGATTTTCCACGGATGATACTTCTTCACATCATGTATACTTTGTATGCCACGCCGATATAAAAGGTACAAGAGGGATAAGATGTATAACGTTCATTTTTCTTTATTTATCTGATATAAAAAAAGTTATAGTCTAAACCTTGTAGACATTTATATAAGCTAATCTCTTAACGGGGGGCTTCATATTAGGGCAATGGTGGTAGATCTCGAGTAAGCTACCACAGCGTCCACTTTATGGACCACAAGTTGGGTAGCTCCATGTTACATGCACCCAACCTTATATGGAGGTACGACGCTTCCAAGGATCGTTACTCGTCGAAGATTACAAAAGCAGGTGATGCAGCCATTGTAGCAGTGTGCTTTGGGGCTAGAAACAATACCAGGTGGGTTTCGGACGTGGTAGAGGTTGCACGCCAGCGCTATTCAGGACATGAGGGATACGCATCGAGACGAGTGATACGGGATTTGTACGTGGACTGTTCAGAGACGGGGGTGGTGATCCTCGTCTACCGGTAATTCTATTTGATTCTATATCAAATTCTATTGATCCTCACGAACCAAACTGCGGTACGGATTATTGGGATCCTGCTCCTCTTCTTCCGCCGATTGAATTGTCTTCTTCACGCGGCAAGGAGTGCCAACGGCGACAGAGAACGGCGGGATATCCTTGGTGACAACAGATCCGGCTCCAATTGTTGAGCCCTGGCCGATTCGCACACCGGGAAGAACAATCACATTACTTCCAATCCAGCAGTCGTCTTCGATAAAGATCGGATGGCCAAACTCGACGAACTTGCGGCGAGAAAGAACGCTGGTATCATGGCCAGCGGTGATCAGACTAACTCCAGTGCCAATCTGTACACGGTCACCGATGACAACTAGACTGGTGTCCAGTATCGTAAGGCTAGGAATTGTTAGCAAGTTTCAACAAGACATAGGTTGGAAATGAAGACTCACTTCCAGTTGAAGAAGCAATCCTTTCCGATCGAAGTATTGCATCCGTAGTCTGGCAAAAATGGTGGTTCAATGAATGTTCCATCTCCAATTTTGCCGACAAGTTTCCGCAATAACTCAAGACGCTTGTCGCCGATCTTGTCATACGTCACGGTCTTTGTGTCCAGATTGTTGAAGTCTGCAGCAAGTCCCCGACATAGATGCCGCGCCTCTAGCAATTTCGGGATGTTGGGGTTGTACCTAGACAGGTCAATAGTCTATCCCGTCAAAGTGTAAGGATTTAAATGATACACACATCATCCCAGATATCATACACTCATAGTCCTCGCACAAGGGCACTCTTGCCAGTCCCCGAGCAAGCTCGATGATCTCAGGGCGTTTCTCAGAGGCAGCCATTTATAAAATATTGAATATTGATACTAAACGTGCAGGAGTAACACGAGATGAGATATATGCGGTCACCGTCACCTCCGTCGCGGGGTGATTAGCCGACAATTCGCCGATGCGGGGAACGCCAAGAGCTGGCTGGCCTTCCTATTTGGGTATGACTGCCAATCTATTTCGCCAGATTTACAAGCATAAGCGTCGAAAGTGCGTATATTGTACTGTTGCAAAACCCAAGTTCACTACATTGCAGGCTAACTGAACAAAATCACCGGGGTACTATGCGTCCAACTTGCGAATCCGCCTTATAATCTCCTCCACATCGGTCCAGATCCGCTGTCGATTCTGCAACCCCTTAAGCATGTCCCAATTGTGTTGAATTTGCATCAGAACACGACGCCAGTCAGTGTTCCTTCTAGGTAATTTCACCTGGTCCGGCATGGTCACTGTCATAGGATATCGGTGTTCAGCAGCTTTCTCGGCGTCACGCTCTGTGTACCAATCCACCAGCAAGCCCTCAACATAAAATTTTCGTAATCTGATCATAGACTTGAGCTCGGCTGTTTGCATATTTGTCCACATCGAAGGGCTGTGTATGCATTCGGATTCATCCCAGGCTTCCCATAACCAGGGCATTTCTCGGCGTACTAGTCTATACCACACAGTATTTGGGAGTTCAGTGAATGCCTTGGAAGCAACGGTTAGACTAGCAATATCACTAGAGTCTAAATAGTCGATAATCATGAGCCGGATTTCGGCCGGAAGGACAGAGAGAAAGTCGGCTTGACTATTGTGAGATGGTATAGGGCGTTTCGTCGGGGATTGAGACGATTCAATCTCATACGATGGGTCATAAGAGGCATCGGATTCTTGGTTCTCGACCGCAGCCAGAAGTATTTCTGGTAGTCCGGGCACGTCAAGGGGATTTGCAATCAGATACTCGGTACCAGGCTGATGAAACCACCACTGCTTCTGTGAACTTTTAACCTCTTTGCATCGAGGAAATGAGTCACGTGAATCATAGTCAAACTCAGAATTTCGCCAGGTCATCAGCCCTGACACATTGATGCATTGAAACTGGACTTTGGATTGTCGGCAGAAGATATCAAAGCACCACGGATGGAATGGCATGGCTATTTCATTCGGTGGTGTGTTCTGCTTTCCACCAGTGTCAGCTTTGGTTTGTGCCCCTGAGACGGTTCAGTGCAAGAAGCGCTTGATAGATACCTACAGCATTGCGCATATCATCCGCCTCGAAATATTCTAACCCATTTCGCTTGGGAAACACTATTGGGTCCATCGGCGCTCCATCACAAATCCCGGATAAAGACCAATCCCCATCGATCTCCCATGGCTCATGTAGCTCATCAGACTTCCATGTATCCCTCTGGAGTGAGTTATGCACCAGGAACTGGGCGGTGCGACAGCCGCTCGCCTGTTCAGGTGAGATAGCATCCACCGAATAGCCCCCCGTTGGGTTATCAAGGAATCCAACGCGATGCAAATCATCTGTAATGCCAGGCCGCTTGAAAGTTTGCCATACCCAGTGGTCATACATTCTCCTTTCGGGGTCTTGGTTTGCATCAGTACTGCTGTCTTCGCTATCTCCATTGTCACGCGCATCTTCTCCGTCAAGGCTCATGCCATCGGTCGATTCGTAATCGGAGTCATATTCATATGAATCATTGTCACCAATATCTTTTGGGGGTTGATAGTCAAGGTCTTCAACCATGTCATCATAAACCTTTGAATCAATCGGGTCTGGCTTAAAGAATCGGCCGTCTTGAGGATCAGACAAGTCCAGCTCCCCGGACCTCAGGCGAAAGAAGACATTGAAGCTCACGCCACATAAATGGCAGCGAAACTTGTAAACGGTCAGATATGCTGTCTATTGATCAAGGCAGAAGACTGTACCTCATAATAACCTACACACCACTGTCAGTCATAGATTCGCTTGCTTTGCCGGGTAACATAGCTGTCCACTCACCCATCCTTTTCCAATCGATCAGCAATTTAGATAGTCAGAACTATCTACGCTTTGCCTGTTCACAATTTAAAGAAGAGATAAAAGAGAAGGAAAAGTGCAAGTGGCAAGTTTTTCTCGTATCCGCCCCTTTTTCCTACAGCGATTCCAAGGTCTCTGATTGGTCAATCCGAGGGTATCTGCCTAAATGTCATGTTTAGACTGTTCGCATCTTCTAGCTATTTTCGTTGCCCTCAAGGGAGGCCTACGGATTTGTTCTGTACATTAACATTAACTTCCTCCGCATCAATCGTTTCGCGTCGGACGGCATCAACATCAAATGCAGCCTTGCTGTGGAAGATTGTTTCCATCTCTTCAAGGCTTTTCCCTTTCGTCTCTTTGACAAAGAAGAAGACAATGATTGCCATGATGATATCCAGGATCGCATAGAAAAGGAACACATAACTGCCCCACGAATTCATCATGTAGCGCGTCACGAGCGAGAAAAGAAAGTTGAAAAGCCACTGTGTTGATACAGCGACCGAGGTTCCAATCCCCCGAATTCGTGTTGGGAAGATCTACATGCTAATTAGTGGCCGAGCTGGTCATAGACGAGCATAGTATTACTTACCTCGGCGGTGTATGGCCACGGTAATGGCCCCCAACTGAATTGGTAGATCGAGTTGGTCAGGAAGATCATAGCCACCATACCAATACCAGCCGGGGTAGCTTTTGCATCGGGCTCCGGCGTTGTTTCCTTGACGACTGTAACAATAATGAAGCAAATGGCCATCAATAGAGCTGAAATCCAAAGGGTCGGCTTGCGTCCCCACATCTCGGAGAAGAATAAGATATAGATACCAACAGTAATGAACTTCTCGGCGCCGAAAAGACCAGTGATGAGAAGGGACTGGTTGGTGTTGTTGCCGACTATCAGTTTGAAGAACTGCGGGCCGAAGTAAGCCAGCGCGGTCATACCAGTGCATTGCTGACCACAAAACATGAAAATGGCGAGGAGCAGTCTGTAGCGGTTTGCGGGCTCGAGAAGTTCGCGCTTATTAAAGCCCTCGGTTGCTCGCAACTCTTCCTCAAGACCGACTCGGATTTCGTTAAACTCTGCCTTCACTTCGGAGCCTATTGAGAGCTGATTAGTCCTATGTCCCGTTATCGCTCTGCAGGGCATGTCACCACCTTCACTAGCTCGCATCCATTTCAGACTTTCCCAAGCTTGATCATAACGGCCCTTTTTGACCAGCCAACGCACACTTTCGGGCATACCACACAGACCCAGTGCAAGAACTCCAGCTGGCACCATCTGGAGACCAACGGGAATCTGCCACTGCTTCGAAGAGACGGGCAGTGTGAGCTTCACAGCGTAATCAATCCAGTAGCTCAGCATCACACCGAGTGCGAAGAACCATTGCATTCCCGAGCCGAGCTTGCCTCGAATTTCCTTGGGTGCCATTTCGGCGTTGTATGCTGGGACGACCGCAGTGCCTGCACCGAGACCGAGACCAGCGACAAATCGGCCGATATAGAACCAAACGAGTGAGTGTGAAGGTACCACCTGCAAAACTACACCGATGCAGAACACGGCCATGGCTGCCTGGACTGTTTTCTTTCGCCCGTACCGTTCGGACACCCAGAATATGCCCAGGGCCGACAGGAATGCGCCTACATTTTGCAAGCTTACCATCACAGCGCTGACGGTGGTTTGGTCCGTATAGCCGAAATCATTGATGTAGGACTTGAATTCGAGGATACCACCTATCCATCAAAACTGTTAGCGATGATCAACCACATGTGCTTTCTGCTTTACTTGCCAACGATTCCAGTGTCATAGCCAAACAAGAAACCTGCGGTACAGATGAAGTATCCAAAGAAATACGCTCGAAAGGCTCCGAGCCTGGTTCCTGTTAACCCCATGATGTACGACGTAGTACACACAGACCACAAAGACCCTGAGGCAGGCGACAAGAGAAACCTTGAAGAAAAATAAATTGAGGCGTATCTCGAGGCTTTTGAATTGAAGCTATGCAAGGGTTGATTATCAGATTCATATTCCAGCTCACATGCAGCACGCAACCTGTAGTGTCGGATACGCCATAGCACGCCTATCACAGGACAGAGAGTCCAAAGGTCCAAGTGCCAAGTGCCAAGAGCGAACAGGCCAAGAGGACGCCACACAAATAAGAATTGCCACGTTTATTCTAATATATAGTCAGATACGTACTCCGTATGTATGGAGTACCCCGGATGCCGCGTTGGTGAGATTGTCAAATCTGGTTCTTATACTGGATCCGAGAGAATGACCCGGGATACCTGCAACCATACTTTGTCGTTCCGGCGATGATATTGTGTGGTAATTACATTTGAATGCCTCTAGGCTCCAATGCTGGACCAAGGACTTACACCTGGTTCTCAACATCTTCGTCGGTTGTTTGTACAATGACGAACGTTTGTTTGCCTAGAGGCCTGAGAATATCGATCCCGCCCTACATGTGGTTGTTCAGTCGGCTACAACGTAGAAGATTGTTAGCAAAAGCGACATGGACTCTGATGGCGAGTCTAATGAAGCATGATACCCAGCTTCAGACATGCCGGGCATTGCAATGTCCCAGTTTCATTGACGTAATCAATTCTAGAACACTGTTTCTCAAAATGGGACATTGTGATGGCAAATTGAGGCTTGAGGCCTAATGAGTTGCAGGAGATAGGCTGCTTGTTGAGAAGTGTCTCGTCGAGGTTGTAACACTTCCACGTGACCAACACATCCACATCTCTGATAGAACAAACCATGGAAAGGTGGTAATAGGGTCACGTGAACCGCGTAAATGTAATTAATCATATTAATACAGCATAAGATGCCTTTTTCAATCTCATGATCTAATGTCAATTACAATGCCTTCTTTCCTGCATCCGCTTGTTTCTGGGCAACAATGTATCCAACAGCACGGGCAATTCCCTCATCCAAGGGCACAACAGGCAAGTAAGCCAGGCGGTGCTTGGCCTTCTCAGTCGAGTAGTAGCGAGTCATGCATGAGTATCGCACTGTCCGGGCAGTGAGACGCGGGGTCTTGCCAAACAATCCCATGACAGTCTCAGCGACGCCACCAACAATCTCAAGGAGACCTTCGGGCAGAGCCCAGACCTGGTCCGGCTCAACTACACGGTTGATCAGAGCCCACATGGCACGAGTGACATCCCAGAAATATACAGGGGAATCGTTGGTGATGTTGAAAGCCTCGCCGTCTACGCGCTCGTAGTCAAGGGGCCCGCCCTTGCCAGCTGCGAGAAGGTCATAGCTCGCGAGAAGGCGGTGCGCAGCAAGCAGGTGACCATAAGCCACGTTGCCGACGTAGGTGAAATCAAACAGGTTGTTGTTATCACCGAGCTGCAGCCGTAACACTCTATCCGATGCTTGGGATCCGTGCTCCAGGATCTTGTGTGTGACTGTTGTATCCTTCTCTCCGTGGATTCCGGCCGGACGGATAGCGGCTGTCAGCATCTCATTCGGGGACTTCTTGTTGTACTTCAGGACGATTTCCTCGGCATCGGCCTTGAAAGATGCAAGGGGTCTGATTAGTGATTGATCCCGATTAAGATCTGTTTAAAATGATAAAAACTCACCTTAGTCTCGGAGTAGTACTCCTTCTGCGCAGGACCCCGGATGTAGGGCCATTCCTCATTCACATTCTTCAGATCACTCTGTGTGTCGTGGACCACGGAGCTGGAGCTAGTGTAGACGAACGCCTTGCATTTACCACCCCAATCACCATGTTCGCCACCGGCGACCTCAAGTAGCGTCCGTGTTCCGTCCACATTGACCTTGTGCAGCAGGGGCTTGTTGCCCTCAATCATAGATGGCGAGGCAGTGTGAATGACAAGATCGGGCTTGACAGCGCGGAAAACCTCCAACATGGACTCGACGGAAGTGATATCACCATCATAGTACTGAGCGCCGGGAAGACGGTTGTTGGTGGTGCGCAAATCAACGACAGAGACCGTGGAGTTGTAATCCGGGTAGCGCGATTTCAGAGTCGGGTACTCGAAGCGCGCATCGCCAACGGGCTTCGGCAGAGCGTAACTGGGGTCGGTCTCGGAGGGGAAATTCAGCAGGTGATCGACAATATGCCATCCCAGAAAGCCACAGCCTCCGACCACGAGGACATTGCCTAACTCTAACGTGCGCCTTTTTGCCGACATGATATGATTTTTCTGTAGGGAGATGGGGGATGGGAGTTGACTGAAAAGGGGCCGGGGAAGTTGGCGGAGATAATCAGGTGATCCGTGCGGGATATGCCTTGAACTTGGCACTCTTCTACTTCTTCCACCTTTTCTACTTTATATTCAATGGAAATAGTATTGAACATTGCTTCGTTGATAATATATAATGCCGAGAACTACTAGAAGTGAATGGAATTCGCCGTCTCTGGATGTGTCATGGACCCTATCCACGGATGCATCGCTGGTTGACTTCCAATATATACAAAGAAGGAACGGACCTTCCCCTTTGACTTGTCCTTCGCCCCTGCTTTGACTTCAATGTTTTCTACTCATATTCAGATGGCTCTAATGTTGCATCGCGACGCCTTCATTATGGAGAACTTATGGAATCAAAAATCTACAAGGGATGGCACTCCAGACAACATCGGCGCTCTCACCTCGCCAAAGGTCTACAGGGTGGCCGAAATGGTTCCTACTAGGGATACTCTGGTGTCGACCGCCAATAAACGGCTTGATGCTTTGGCAGCACAGCTTGAAACCCTCAGGCTTGATGGCCTGACAACAAAATCCCAGTCCTCGAGAAATGATCCCTTCACTATAACCCCCAAAGCCTCAAACAAAAGCTCAGACCACGCCGGCCTTCTCACACAATCACAAACTTATATGCCTCAAGGGGCGAACATCATGGCTGATATCAGGGCCATCGCCGAGATTCGGGATGACCGCAAGAAATTTCGGCGTTGGAAAAGGGTCTTCAGAGACCATTATGCTGTGTCCTGGGATGAATGCCGAGTACGGAAGGGATTAGCAATGGTTTCGACTGACATGATTGATATGTTCAACATTCGGGCAAATGTGCGCACACTTTCCAAGTGGCGGAGACTGAAACATCGCCCGCAACGCCGACACATTCAAAGGATTTGTGATCCTTGGATTGACTCGTGTCGTCTATGGGCATTGTACGATTCGTGATTGCTATCGTGCTGTGAACAAGGTTCCTGGTATGACTATCCCACTTTAGCTGACCTTGGAAAGCTGAGTCTCTTCTTGGGATATTCTTGGAGTACCCATACTTTTCCAACTGCCCCGAGCTTTACCCAAACTATATGATTACAGTCAAAAGATGGTGGCCCGTCCATCTCTACTAGCCACAGAGCCTTTCATGTTGTCTCATCCGCGTACTATATCTACTTAGTAGACGGTAACTACACTTTATCACAAGACGTTACCAAGGTCCTTTTTGCGTACCTATGAATACTATTTGATATCGATTTTTCTGTGTTAAATGGTACGCCACGCGCCAATCCCTAGTCTCTCCGCCATCATAAAGAATATCTCAAGTAAGGTAAGGCACAGTGGCAAGACATAGTGATGGCAGGAAAATGATACAGTTCAAGCGAGGGAGAGTTGGTAACGATAACCGAACACTGTCATGTTGCATGACATATTGCTTAGCAAACATGCACCAGCACAGTGAGCTAGCTCAGCTCAGGACTCCTCCAGTGATGCTCGAAGCTTGCGCCTGTAAAGCCTGCGATCTAGTTCCGAACCCCAGCACAGAGCGGTTGCCTCTGGGTTCACTGTCATGAGGGGATTGTACGGGGGGTTGTCGTCTTCCAGTGTATTGATGATGCCGTCGATATGTTGGCCGATCTCTTCAGCATGCGAAGGAAGATACATCAACACACCCATTTTGGAGACACAAATGTGGTACAGGGGCGGCTCGATAAAGACCCGAGGCTGTTCTTCTGGGTGTCTGGGAGAGATGTGAATCTTGATCTTGATGATGCCACCTTCCAACTTGGACTCGTTGCGACCAACGTAGGTGAGTCTCCAGACGAACGGGTTATCATCAACGAGTGACAGATCGATAACTTGAGGAGAACTGTTCATTTCTGCAGCAATCTGTTCGTGCCGACCCCGTAGTTTAACGGCAATCCCAGCATCCTCCTTGACCAGAGTAAGACCCTCGATGGCCCAGCGGTTTGTCTCTTCCATCACCTGGTCTCGAACAGCCAACAAACGGGCTTTTAGGGCGATGTAGTTCCATTCTCCGCCCATGGAATTGCCATAGCCTTCAAACGGCATTTGGATGAAGGGCGTTCCTTGTCTGCGTGCCTCGTCCGCGATACCTTTCTCAATAGCGTTCTGGTAGAACTCGAAGTACCATAGGAACCGTCGCTTGCAAAAGTCGCCAAACTTGCTTTGAATGGGGAATCCGTCTAGATCGAGTTGGGGTTCGTGATCACTATCTTCTTCCGTGCTAGACTCCCAACCAACCCTTGGCGCCGTTCGGCGGGGAGGCGTCGCAGTTTGGAAGGCTTGTTCAACCGGTGTAATGACTGCTAGTCGTAGATTCTCATGACGGATCTGATATAAATGTGAGCATTGTCCAGTTTATTCTGACAAGATAGCGATCTTTACCTTGGACTTGTAGATCTCCATATTTTCCGTGTCGTTCGCCCGTTCGTTGTCGTCAAATCCCGGTTCCAGCGTATACGGGTTTGATGATAACAGGCTCTGGATTGACAGCAGAACGGATTCGAGTCCCTGTGCAGGCGACCATTGCTCACCCCGGGAACCATGCCAAGTTCTGTTGCGATGTTTAGCGATACTCCATAAAAAACCTCTATTGTTAGACAAGCTTACCCCAAGATCGACCTAGAAAATGTTAGTATCAGGCGTTGTATAAAAGAAATAGTATTCGGGTGCACTTACAAGCAGACCTTCCCATTAGCATACAGATTAGGTCCGAAGCGAGTTCGGCCCCTGTTGGTCGTCCGGATTTTCACCACCGGGGGATTTGCTGGGTAATCTATAACCATATGATTTAGCAAGTGCCTGCCATGAAAGACAAGATCATCTTACCTGATGGGATCCTGATCGAGAACTGGCAGACGATTACAATTGGTTAGTCATAGTTCAACAAGCGTGCCCGGGCCCGCCTTGAATAGCTGGGTGGATCTCACCTCGTAAAAGCCCAGTTCGTATGGGGTGCCCGGGGGTCCGATGATGAGGGCCTGGATATCCCGAATGTTGCTTTCTTCGTAGTAGATAGTGAAGGCTGTATCGAGGTCAGTCTGTGGGTCTCCATACGGAATGGCCTGAAGTGTCAAAGAGATCTCATACCCAGTTGTTCACTTTGCTCGACCTGTCTCAACTCCTAAGGCGACAATGTGAGATTAGTGTTTTTTTCGGGTTAGTTTGCCCAAATGAATCATAGTTGGAAAGGCACGTACTCGGACGAGGCGCAGAGTGCACTGGTCACCCATCTTGCAACGTCTGGGGTGAGTTGGTCAGGTGTTCACGGGTGTATCGTGAAGGTCGCAGAGTTATGATCAGCAACTTAGAAAATAAAAACCTAGATGTATTAAAAGCACGAATGGTGTTGTTGGTCTAGAGGAGGATGAAGAGGAGGTAGAGAAGGTAAAGTCAGGTGGAATCAAGGCGACTAGACAGTTTGTCCCTTAACGTTTTTTTTGGTTTGTTTGTATTCTGATCTTTTCTACGTTTCTCTTTCTTTCGTGTTTTACTTTTCCTGATCTTCACGATCTTCAATTTTCTGTCTTCTTCTATTTCTGTCTGGCTTTTTGTCTACCAGCCTCCTACTCTCCACTGTACGGGTAATCCCATCAACATCAACATACTTCGACCAATCCAAATGTACTGATCAGTCTGATGAGATTACTTTTCCATGGATCTCCCTGGAAACTTTGAAATGTAAGAAACTAACATGTAATACGGAGTACTATGTATGGAGATACCTAAGTATTCGTGTATTCTATATCCTTAGGAGATATCCAACCTGGAGACTATCTGACATAGTCAAGGGTCAATCCAAAATACCCCTATATTCCACCTTTGATGCTATGTTAGGGGAAAAGACATACATATCCATACAAACTACCATGTCCCTTCTGAAATTAAAATACAAAAACCAAACACTAATCTGCAGAGTGTTCTATAAAAAGCACAGTGATGGCATAGGGGGCGGTATGGAGTACACAAGAAGCTGTGTCTACATGCATATAGTACACAGTGCAATATTGATGTTTGCCATATGCTCAGATCAAGTCAATCAGATTTGACCTTGGATATCCTGCAATCATGTCTAAAAGACCCTAGAATATGTCACCAACTCCCCCAAGTTGACCGTCCACATGGGAATTGTATAGACCACGTGACCCAGGGTCCCTAACTAATTAGGGGAGGGGGGGGGGCATCTCCATCTCCATTCCTCCCCAGCCCACTTCTTTTCCCCTCGCCCTTGCACCTTAATTTTTTCTATCTTGTTCTTGGAGACCTGGAATCTGCTGTCGGTTCAGTTTGGGATGACTGTGGCCCGATAATCAGCACCCTCTGTTGGTCTCACCTTGAAAGCTCCCAATCCCCCTCGAAGACCGGTCCCCGCGTCCTCTAGCCCGCGCGCTTTCAGTCCCTTCGTTCACGACAACATTCCTCTATACCACCTCCTCAATTCGATTCCTCTGGCTTTGCGCGCGCGTTATTTCCGTCCCTCCTCCATCAGCCACCCCCGCGTGTCTTTACATGGCATGAGGGTGAGTACACTCTGGGGAACAACAGTGACCCCAAGGCATGAGATTCTAATTTAAGAATCAGACTCTCGACCGTACGCGCCCAGCCGACCTTCAATTTGCCGCCAATCTGTAACCGCGTTGCATCTTCGATACAAACCTACCGTAACTCCCGTTTACCACGTCACCTCGCCCGTTCCTTACTCTCCAATATTTGCATGCAGCGTTCGGCGTGATTCAACCCAACAAACCCCACCGTATTTCTCCTGACGGGGGACCAAGATGCCCCCCGGTGGACTCCCAGCCAGCCTGGTCGCAGGTAATCCCAGCGGCCGTCCCACCGTCGACACCTCTGGCTACGGGGCTAGCTATACGAAAAACACACCCACATCTCCCGAAGATAGTTTGATTCCATTCGAGTCACCGTCAACACGAACGGCAGGCCCAAGCCCCATCAGTCCGGCGAACCAGGAGGATGGTGGCCGCTCCAGTCGTGGTCTGGGTCCTGACCAGGCCGGCTTCCGCGACCGCTCCGCACCCCGAGATCGCTCGCGAGTAAACGGGCGTCAAAATAAGTCTCCAGGTGGTTCATCGCGACTGTGTCAAAAGTGCGGCGAAACTCTCACTGGCCAGTTTGTTCGAGCACTAGGGGGAACTTTTCATCTAGAGTGTTTCAAGTGCGAAGTAAGTTGCTTTTTCTAGCCCGCGTTTTTGGGGCCTTCTCTAACTTCCATACTCCTCTCAGGACTGTGGCGAGATCGTTGCTTCGAAGTTTTTCCCCGTCGATTCAGAAGATTCAAGCTGCCAGTTTCCGCTTTGTGAAACCGATTACTTTAGACGACTGGGTCTCTTATGCCATGAGTGCGGCGGCGCACTACGCGGATCATACATTACAGCGTTAGACCGGAAGTATCATATTGAACACTTCACCTGTTCCGTTTGCCCGACCGTCTTTGGTGCGCAGGACTCTTACTATGAACACGAGAGCAAGGTCTACTGCCACTTTCACTACTCAACCCAGTTTGCCCAGCGGTGCCATGGATGTCATACAGCAATCCTGAAACAGTTTGTCGAAATCTTCCGCAACGGTCAAAATCAACATTGGCACCCCGAATGTTATATGATTCACAAGTTCTGGAATGTCCGGTTATCCCCTGCCGGTCAAACATGGGAGCCTCCGCCCGTAGATGAGGATGCCAGCGAAGATGAGCGCAAGCATATTCGCGACGAAGAAGATTTAATGGAAGAGAAGGTCTTCAATATTTGGAACACCCTTTCTACCTTTGAAGAATCATCCGCCGCTTGCATCTCAGACATGCTACTCCATGTGAGTAACGGCGCTTACATCGATGGTGTTCTCGTAGCAAAGCGCTTCATCGAACATGTGGAAATCCTCTTCGGTGCAGTCGATCAGTTGGCAGACTACATCAAATCCCACGAGTTAAAAGGTAAGTCCCGCGCGGCTGGTTTTATATCATCCGGGGCGATCGCTGATTATTCCAAACCAGAACTTTCCTATGGCCGCGAAGCCAAACTTCTTTGCAAAAAGATTGTCGCTTTCTTCGCCCTTCTATCGAAAACCCAGGAAACTGGGGTACGCAAACTTGGCGTCACCCAGGAACTCCTGTCTCTGGTGACTGGTCTCGCTCATTACCTCAAACTCCTTATCCGCATCGGTCTACAAGGTGCACTGAAACTTGAACGCGAGAAGTCTGCGCCAGATGGTTTACAAAACTTCCTGGAGCGTCTCCGTGATCTGGAGTCATTAGCAGACGAGGATGACGATACGCCAGTCGACCTGATGGCTGGAGTGGAAGGCTTGGCCGATCAACTTTCAGATTGCTGCATTGCCTGTAAAGAACCAATTGACGACGAATGTGTTCAGTTGGGACAGAGTCGTTGGCACATCAAGCCGCCTCATCTTTCATGCAAATCATGTGAGAAGGACTTAACCGCTGATTTCCAAGACGCATTGTGGAGCGGCAGCGAGGAGAAAGTCTACTGCGGCGCTTGCGCCCGCCAGATGAAACTTGGCCCCACCGTGAAGGGTGGTTTCACTCCAGTTTCAAAATTGCAGCAATTCGTTTTCTTGCTGAAAGTGGCACTCGCACGGCTTCTCGCCGTACTGCAATCCGGGGGAACCTTGCCTCATACCTCAGGTAGGATACTCTTACATTACCCCCATGCCGCCGGCAGTCTGTCTAACTTGATTCGTCCCAGACGACCCCAACCTTAATGATTACGACAACAATGACGGCTATCGAGTCACGTCCCAGGTTCGCCGGGCAAACACACGCTCCCAGTCATATGGCGGTTCCTCGCGAGATGGCCTCGAAGAAACATCGCTCGAGCAGACCGTTGGCGAGATGCGTCGGCTGCGCTCTATTCGAAATGAGCGAACCCTATCCACAACGTACAAACGAGCCCGCGCATCCAGAATCATTGATGGACCAGAAGGCAGAAGTGCTCGACCAGGGTCATCTGGCAATGATGGCAGTGACCCGAGGAGCCACGGTTTCCAGATTGTCGAAGAACGGGATGCCAATGGCGAACCCGTTACTGATCTGACTTTCGGGGCTCAGGATGCTTTGACGCTAGATGACATCCCCCGCATTGTTGCGGCCGAGCAAGCCAAGGAGCAGCGACCTAATGCCTACAGGCATGCTGGTACAAAGCTCATTGGGGGAACCGAGATGCCCAGATATAACCAGGGTCACCAGCGGGGAGTATCGTGTGGAAATATGGAAGCGATGATGGAGCCAACCCGAACCAAGCGGTACTTCTCAGAACTAACTGCTTTGGAATATTTCATCGTTCGCCACGTTGCTGTACTCCAAATGGAACCGTTGGTCGAGGGCTATTTCACCATGGAGGAGCTCCTTTCTCTTATCGAGTCGCGCAAGCCTACCATATGGAACATCTTTGGCCGTGCCTTCAAGGATAACAAGAAGGGTAATAAGAAGAAGGGTGTCTTTGGTGTCAGTTTAGACTATTTGGTCGAGAAGGAAGGCACAGAGTCAAGTCACGGTGTTGGTCCTGGTGCGCTCCGCATCCCGACGCTAGTTGATGATTCTGTCTGCGCTATGCGGCAGATGGACATGTCTGTGGAGGGTGTCTTCCGAAAGAACGGAAACATCCGCCGATTGAAGGACACCGCAGAGCTAATCGACACCAAGTACGAGCAAGTTGATCTGACAAAGGAAACTCCCGTGCAGATTGCAGCTCTTTTGAAGAAGTTCCTCCGTGAAATGCCCGATCCTCTCTTGACTTTCAAGCTGCATAGACTGTTTGTCATCTCACAAAGTAAGTTTTGATGTTAGGATTATCGGTCTACAAGTGCAATGCTAACTGTATCGCAGAAATGGATGACACAGAGAAACAGAGGCGACTACTTCACTTGACATGCTGTCTGCTTCCCAAAGCCCATCGTGATACGATGGAAGTCCTGTTTGCCTTCTTAAACTGGACTTCATCCTTCTCACATGTGGATGAAGAGTCTGGAAGCAAGATGGACGTCCACAATCTTGCGACTGTGATCACGCCCAATATCCTCTACCCCAATGTCAAAAACAGCACAGTGGAGGAGAGCTTCTTGGCCATCGAGGCTGTTAATGCCCTGATCACGTACAACGATGCATTCTGCGAAGTAAATCGCCCAGGTTGAGCTTTTGCTAGGATTGTGCTGACTCTGTTCATAGATTCCAGAAGACCTACAATCGGTCTTGGGTGATCCAACTCTCTTTAGGGAGAATGCCGAAGTGACAACCAAGGAAATCCTCAAACGATATGGCGACATTGGTCGAGGCAGCTTTGCACAGCGACCGGAGAACGGTGGCGAGACATTCACCATCACCACCCCCAACCGAAACAATAGCACTCCAGCTTCCGCGCGTATTGAGACCGATCCATCTCAGGATGCAGCTTGGCAGATGCAAAGCTCGGTTCGCCATGTGGTCGGGCCCAGCGGACACGCACACTCGTCCAGCACTAACATCCAGGCCGGACTTGATTTCGGTCCTCCTCCCCCAGCAGCGTATCGCCGTGACCGTAGCACCAGCAACGGGAGCCAGCCAATCGCAGGGGCACCTGATGGTCAACCATCCAATGTGGCTTATAGGCCGCGCCCGAATGCGGGTGCCATGGGTGTTACTGGGTAGACTGGATCTCCTTACACTTCCTGCACAGCTGCAATACTGTGATACATCATCATCCGACTTTGACTTGCATCCATCTGATTCAATCCAGTGGATTTTCTTTATCTTTCTCGTTTCTCGTTTCTCGCCTCTTGTTTCTTGGGACCTTCTTAGCGTTCTTTTTACTTTTCTTTTTTGTCCAGTGATAGGACTGGTTGACGGAGTTTTCCCTTTTCTTTTTCCATGAAAATTCCCCAAAAGTGATCAACAAGCTGCTTGGTCGCTATTGATTGGTTTCTGTTTGTCTTCCCCCTATTTCTATAGTGGCTGGAATACTTTGTCTCTTTTTTTTACCTTTGTTCATTTGCATCTGATTCGAGGGATCAGCCATACCCATACCTGTCCCTTTGGGCATAAATGTCCAGTTTTTCCATTCTCTCTCGCTTTGATTTCTGAGCATGCTCCTTTTTTTCGTGGGCCAGGCTACGGCTATACCTAGACCCTGTTTTTCCTTTCTTCTTTTCTGATTCTTCTCCCCCGGGTCTTTTGCTTAACCGGAGCCAAGGGAGCTTTTATTTCCTTTCTTATTTGTTCAATCAACATGATTGCTACGATAACTGTGCTGTGTAATTGCCTAAGAGAGATACTTATGTAAAACCTTGCATGTTCGTGAAGTCCTAATAAATCAACCTTGAATCACTTTGAATTCAAACCACCACTATCCGAGCCTACCTAAGTCTATTCGCTAGTGCATCTTTTAAATGTTGCTTGTACATCTTATCTTGTATGGTAGATTAAATATCTGAATACACCTATATCGCACTTCGCTGATGCCTTCTTGGGTATAACGTCTGAAGTCTGAAGTCTGAATTTCTGATCACTGGACAGTATAGTTATTGCTTTCTACTTTGATAGTAAAGTCATGGTAAAATCAGAGCGCTCAAAGGGTTTGCAGTGGGTACTGTAAGAAATTCTAAGCTCCGTCTAGCATTCCTCAAATTGATACTCCTCGTGGAACAGATATTCATCATCCACAGAACCAAACAGCCAGGTCTTCAACTCTTCAAAGGCATCCAAATCATTCTTTTCCAAGACAAGCTTATTTTTTGAATCATGCCATCCGTCTGTCTGTCCCACTCCGCTGTTATTCAATGATTCCCCTGTCTTCCGACAACTCCCAAAATCAATGATGACCGGGACACCATGCTCATCAAGCATGATATTGAACGGATTGATGTCATTATGCACAAGCCCAAGAGAATGAAGGTGCTTGATCCCCTCCAAAATCCCATGGAAATTCTCTCTGAGAGAATCATCGACTTGCTCACGACCACTAGCCCGGAACATGTTCTTGTTCAGGTATCCAGGATTGACCTTCTCCGTCAAGGATTCCTTGTATCGTTTGAAGCAAAGACCAGTAGCCCGACCATTCTCCTCACGACAGCCGTAATAAGTAGCAATATTCGGGTGTGGATGTCTGCGAAGCACTTCACACACTTCAAGCTCGCATTGAATATCGTCTTCCAGCTTTGAATAGAGGAAATCGACGACGCCTGGCGTTTTCAGGTAACAGTCTTCCTCGGATGCCACAGCCCATGTGTCCTGCATTTTCGGGCCTCGATCGTTGGTGGTGATTGTCCTCAAATCATTGAACTGACTGATATCGGTAGGTTTCGATGATCGATCGTTCCACGACCCGTAGTATAGGATACCATCTTGTCGCACGACGAAATTCTTGCAGCAATACATGACTCTGCCGTCAAGGGTTTCGAACGACGTAGACTCTCGGATGATCTCCATTATGAAAACACGGAGATTGGTGCTCGCGGTATGTGAAGCCCGAGTTGTGGTAGCTGGGCAGGAGCTGGAATGAACTCACCGGGAGAGCGGTGTGATGGAAAAAGCAATATCATTGATTGGTAGGCAAGTGACAGGGGTCTCGTATTTGCCCGGGTCTGTTTGAAATTTTCAGACGGATACACACAGATAGATGGCTATGACGGCCAGGTATTTGGTCGAAAATAAGATGGGTGAGATACCCGGACAAAGCTATGAATGTATAAGATTCAAGAAGGAAACTCCGATTATGATATCGCGCCGAAGAATCAACAGGAAAGACAGCACCCAGGCTCATATTGTTCATTGCAGTCTGTAATCATCCACGCTCAAAGAAACATAATCCCAACTAACTCCAAGACAAGAAGACAAGTGTCTGTGCGTCCTAAATCCGCTTGCGCAGCGCTCGAGTTCGGGGCATAGTTTCAGCCACAGCCGGAGCGGTAGTCTTGCGCATTGAAGCAGTCGCAGATGGATTTTTGACAGCCATTGATACCGCCTGCACACGGGCAGTTGGCTTTTTGGCAGCCGCGGCAGATGCTGTGGTTGCCTTTCTCGGGCCAGTACCAGTCCGTGTGGACTTGATTACTGTTGTACCCGAAGACACATTGGACCCTGTGCTGTTCTTGCGCTCGGCCTGTCGGGTCGCCGGGCGCGACAATGGTGACCGAGCAGGTTTGGGTCCTGTAGCGGCACGGGGGGCAGTCTTCTGGGCCTGCGAAGGAGGCCGCTGGTCCTTCCCCGCAGAGACAGTGGCACCGCGTGATCGCAACGGACTGGCCGGTTTTAGCGGTGAGGTAGGGCGTGCCAGATATGAGGGTTGACCCTTCTCGGGAGATGCACGGAAGGGCGAGTGAGGGTATGTACGGGAATTGTTGGACTTGGGAGACAAGATCCGGTTCTCGTTGCCCCGTAGTTCCTGAGATGCCACGCGTGAGGCCCCGCCTGGTCCGGCTGGCTTCACGCGACGCTTAGGATTCTTGAGCTCAGACTCGCAACCGGCAGGGGCATTCTCTTTGTCAGAGAAGTGGCCATCGTGGCTATTCATTCTGTCAGCTAGAAAACCAAATTGGGCTTGTGGCATATCGTACCTTCCCCTCCGAGCTCTACCATCGCGTGTAGTGGAAGTTTCTTGTTCTACGGAAATACTTGGAATGATACGCGACACCTTCATGGGCGAGTGTTTCCGAGAAGGTGACCCAACCCGTTGTTTGCTTGTGGCTGCATTGTGCTTTTCGAGCAGCTCACCGATGTTTGCCTTGCGTAGCGAGACTGGGATCCGATTGACGCGTCGCTCAATACGCGCCCGGAGGTCATTTGCCTGCAGGGCATATTGGGCACGAAGCTTACGTGCCCGCTCAGTTACTGTAGCAAAATTAGTGCTGTGTTCACCGCGTAAACCCACAATTAAACCCACTTTCAAGTTGTAGATTGTCCATCAGGGCCTGCTTCTGAAGCTGCGTTAAGCGCATCTTTTTAGAAGGACTGCCCGTAGGCGTGACGTCCATAGCGTCAGACTTCCGTTTAGTAGCAGGCATTGGGCAAATTTCAAGGAATATAGACTTGGGATGTGTCGAAGTACAAGTGCGGAGCCAGGAAGACCACAACAAACAGGTGTCTCGGGCGGGGAGCAGTGGCAGAATGCAGAGCTTCCACCTCGCCTTCGTCATCCGTCTTCGTCTCTCATACGCCGATCTCCTATTCACTCTCTGTTCTGCCCTTCTTTACATCGTTAATTCCCTTAAATTCCGCCATCATGACGCTGGAAGCTACTATGATCATGTCCGTCATTGCACATCCTCCATATTAGCCTACTCTGCTAACTCCAAGCTACAGTGTCGACAACAGCGAAAGCAGTCGCAATGGAGACTACACGTGAGTACATCCGATCATACCATATTTGCGTCTGCGGGTGACATCTAATTGTCATAGATCAACCCGGTGGCAGTCTCAAGTCGATGCCGTTAGCATCATCCACAATGCAAAGATGCGTGTAAACCCCCAGTCAGCTGTCGGTCTTATGAGCATGGGCGGCAAGGGCCCCGAGGTGTTGTCAACCTTCACATCTGAGTTTGGCGCAATTCTCGCTGGTTTGCACCAAACAAAAATCCACGGCACAGCTCATCTCAGCTCGACCATCCAGGTTGCAGCGGTACGTTCTTCCAGCCAATCTCCGAGGTCCCAAGCTCTCAATAACTAACTTCGATGGTATTCCAGCTGGCACTCAAGCACCGTATGGAAAAATCCCAGCGTCAACGCATCATCGTATTCTCCTGCTCGCCCATCGAAGAAGATGAGAAGATCCTCGTGAAGCTCGCAAAGAAGATGAAGAAGAACAACGTGTCGATCGACGTGATAGCTTTCGGAGATTTGGAATCCGACCAGACCAAGAAGCTCGAGGCTCTCGTTGACAATGTCAAGAGTGGTGATGGCTCCTACCTCGCTATCATCCCACCGGGACCCCATCTTCTCAGCGATCAGCTGCAACAGACTCCGATCCTGGCTGGCGAGGATGCCGACGTCGGTGGAGGTGGCGGCGAGGGTGAGGCGGGTGGATTTGGATTTGATGACGCCGCCGAGAACGACCCCGAGCTCGCATTCGCTCTGCGCTTATCGATGGAGGACGAGAAGAACCGACAGGAGAAGGAGAAGCGCGACCGGGAAGAACAGGAAGGCAAGACGCAACTGGGCAACATCCCCGAAGAGGGCCATGGCGAATCCAGCGGTGACAAAGATAAGAAGGACGAGGACAAGATGGACACCGCGTAAGGTCCGGCCGAAGATTTGAATATGACTGTTATGCATACCCGGCGTTTGCTTCTGCTTTTGTCTTGTATTCTCGAGAATTGACCTTCTGCGGGTACGTTCTACAGTGTGCAAGGGCAATATATTATGTGATTTGGTATTATACGAGACGGAGTGATATCCGGACACAAGTACAAGAACAAAACGTATCTAGTTCGTAAAGTCATGATATATCCCCTTTCCGCATGGCGCGTCGGGGCTATGTCCTCCCCCTCAACCACGCGCCCAGATGCCGATCGAATGCCTCGCATCGCACCGGCATCTCAATCTGATAGAATGGATTCTTCATCACATAGTCGGCATAGAGCTCATAGATCCTCTGAATGATTGCGTCCACGCCGCCCGTCAACGGATCCGTGAACAACAAGAACTTCGTCCCCGTCAGGGTCTGGAAACATGTCAATCGAAACTTGTCGGTCTCGAGGTAATCCAAGCCGGAGACTGGTACACCGGGGTTTGGGTAGGAGTAACCGGACGCAGCAGGAGCGGTGGTGCCCGTTGAGGTTGTAGAGGGAGCAGGTTGGGCGATGGGAATTTTCGGTGTGATGGAGCGGGTGATCGCGTGAACGCTATAGAATCCAAGTCAATGGATATTCCAGGAGAGAGATTGGTACTGGCTTACCCGTGAAAGGTGCCAGCTAGGACGAGGTAGTCATTTGTCGAGAGGTTGCGCAAACCAGATTGAAACTCGCGCTGGTAGATGAGACCGCCGGCTTTGTTGATAATGATCAGGGAGAAGACGCCCCTGGGGTTAGAAGGCATGTTAGTTGCTGTGCGATTCACTGAGCAGATGGAGCGTACATGGTGAGTTGAGTCGCTGGTACGGACAGCGCGGCCGGAGAAGCAAGGGGCGGAGGGCGCTATTGGTATCTCTCGAGGTATTCCGGCGAATTGTGTGAGCTGTATGACTGAGGTTGTATAGAGGACCAAAAGTAGGTGTTGGCATGGAGTTCGCGGGGATAGGAGGAGGAGACTGTTGATTCCGCGTCGATAAGCGGGGACCAGCCAACCCAATCGGCGTCGCTTTCGGTTTATTTTATAGACCTTTTATAGATCTTTGGTTATTCAATTCCAGTACATATGAAAGAGGAGTTTTATTAACTGAATGGCCAAGTTGCATTGCTTGATTGATATTAGGGTGTATCTTGACTTTTTGCTGGAGATATATATTGCGTGGACGGCCATGGGTTTCAGCATTTCATAAGAGAGCTATACAAACTTGAAGCACTGGACTAGCTGATGGTGAATAAGATGGCTAACAAACAGACTTTCAGGAAATCCAAGATCAAAATACCATGATCTCTTGAGACCGACGCCTCCCAAGAAACGTTCGCCGTTACCGAAGTCAGACCGATGATTCGAGATCGTGATGCTCGTCCTGAGTTTCCGTGGCAGGAAATTGCCTATGTTGTCGCATGGATGTTACATGATAGGCAGAACCTTGGACGCACTCGGTAAGTTCACCAAGGACAGATTAACCAAGGCTTGCATTCTGACTCAGTATCATAGAAGAAGCTTGTCTCACAAGACAACCATGAGATATTCCTGACAAGAGAAGAGTGAGACCTTGGACAGGTGTACTTATGCGCATACACAATACGACGCTAGTGTGCGAAAGATGTCGGAGCAAATTACCCAGAACACGAACCTGACCCCTGATTACTCCAAGTCAAGAAAGGGCAAAGCCAAGAAAGAACGCAAAGGCAATACCTTAGGCCTTTTCGTGTCAGCGAAGCTCGACAAGTCACGCGCATGACAGGAGAAGATGGAAGAGGGGATTTATTCGCTGAAGAAACAAGTCACCAAACGACGAAGACTTTATGTGATGTAGAGGATTGTAAAAGGATTGACAATGCTATTCTCGCCCATCTCCCATTACCCTACTTTCCTATTGACGAATACCAAATGGCATCTCTGCCCGCAGAAATGTCCCAATGATGGATACTCGTGTGCAAACAGTTACAAAATAATACAACATTCATTGACATAAGCTACACGTATGAGATACATTTGACAAGATAAGGCTCTGTGACAGGAGCAACAGGGTAGGAGAATAGAACGCCGAGTAGAAACTTGGGAACAGAACCGACATCCATAACCACACCCCACAACCCGAAGAAAGAAAGGAGACGACCTTATTAGGTCTCCTTGGCCTTGCGCGACCAATGCTTGGGGACGCGGAAGACCCAATACAGGAAGAGCGCGGCGACAATATTGAACCCCACGTAGACAAACAGCAAACCGATGTTGCGCCCAACATCCGAGTACGGCATGTTGAGGCTTTCGAGGAACTGGTCTGTGCTCGACATTGGGCAGATCTGGCAATCCTTCGACGCCTCAGGATTGCGTAATGTGCCATGCATAGCCTTGATGTAAGGGTCCAGATAACGGCCGCAAGTCTGTCCATCTGGAGGCGAGATAGTGAGCCACTCAATACTAGAACATTCAACCGAAGTCCCAGTCAGGCCTGTGGAGAGCACCGACGACACGAAGTATGTGAATGGAGACACCCGGTTCATGAAGATCCAGAAACGAGGCATATCAGAAGATTTCGCGAGTACCCTAGAAATCCAGTCAGCACTACTACCAATTAATTACCAAACACCCGCAGATAGCCTACCCGTTGAAGATCAAGCAAAGCGAGAACATGAACTGAGCAATGTTGCTGCCGGTATCGGGCTCTTCAATTCCAGCAATCATCATAGAACTGAACGTCGACGTGAACATCATGAACTGCAGAATGAGCAGGTACATGATGCCGCCTCGTTCGATGACTGCATTCGTGGGCTCTGCATTGTGATAAAATCCGATTGGGTAATACCAGCTGAAAAAGATTGGCACCGACATTAGGATATTCCATACCAGCTCCGTGAGGATACTGCCCATCATAAATGCCATCCATGAGTACACCTTTGAAGGTCGCTCGCGTACCTCATACAAAGAACGCTGCACGACAAAGGACGGCATCATCTGCTGGACCAGACCCGGGAAGATGACGAGAAGCATGAAGATTGCAAACATCTGATTCTGCAGCCCTTGTAGGCTGGTAGGCATGTGCCAGAAGGTGAATCCAAGGAACAGTGGCTATACCTGTTAGTCCAATCAAATAAAATGGAGGAGGATAACTTACTGGGACAGTGCATGTGAGAACTTTGGCGTATAGGTACGACGGAGATCGCCAGTACTGCTGGAACATGCGTTGAGTACAAATGAGGAACTGATACCAGAGTGGCATGGCAAATTCACCGTACCCTGCGATGCGAATGGGTACAGGCTGCTTAGAGAATTCCTTTTTGATTTCAGCCAACTCTCTATGAACCTCTGCGCGCTCGGCACTGTTCGTCCATTGCTCGGCCCAATCTCTATCCGCATGAGAACCTGGAGCAGCACCGATGACATCGAGCATCCATTCGGCTGGGTTTGCGTTTCGTGGACACTTAAGCGACCCTTTGCCTTCGAAGTATTTGATCAATGTTTCCATATTCGGGCCAAGGTCGCCAAAGTACACAGTGCGTCCTCCTTTCGCGAGAAACAATAGACGGTCGAACTGCTGCATCAGCATTGCCGAAGGTTGGTGAATGGTACACAGTACAGCCTGCCCGTGGTCGGCCAAATTACGCATCAGAGTACAGATTGACCAAGCAGTTTGACTATCTAGACCCGAGGTCGGTTCATCAAAGAATAGCAGCAAATCTGGCTTGGCTGCTAGCTCCACACCGATAGTCAACCGCTTACGCTGCTCCACATTGAGGCCCTCGCCGACAACACCGACCACGGCATCTGCGTATTCTTCCATACCGAGCATCTGAATGATATCTTCGACGTATATCATCTTTTCCTGACGAGGAATGGTGACAGGCTGGCGTAGGAGAGCGCTGAAAACCAGAGCTTCACGAACAGTGCTAGTCTCTAGATGCAGATCCTGTTGCTGCACGTAACCCGTCTTTCGCTGGAAAGAATCGTCGCATAGCCGGCCATCAATAAGCATCTCGCCGGAGACGACACCGATAGTAACACGATTGGCTAAGACATCGAGTAATGATGTCTTCCCTGCACCAGTGACACCCATCAAGGCCGTCAAAGTGCCGGGCTTGACCCAACCATCCACGCTATCTAGGATGCGTCGCTCGGTCCCCTTGATCTTGATGTCGAAGCACACATTTTCCCAATGGAAGATGGAAGTTTGGCGAACAATTGCTGCGGTCGAGTCCTGAGGTTCGCTAGCAACTGCACCTTTCTCCGATGCAATGACTTCCTCTGGATCCTCTTTTCGAACATTCTTGGCAAAGGCAGGGATCTTACCGCGCGGGAATACCAGAACTTCACCTTTGGATGGTTTAGCGCGGATGAGTTCACTGCAGAAGACGTACAGCACAAAGGAGCCCACGAAGAAAGCGCAGAGAATCCCGAAGTTTCGCCACAAATGCGGGCTGTAGTATTCGTAAGTGGTATTAATGTATGTCTCTCCATCAATAAAATCCTGACCTGCCACAGCACCCTTCTGTGAGCAGATTCTGGAGCTGAGAGGCGCATTGTTGTAAATTTCCAAGCCACCGGGGACAAAGTTCGAGCAGGGGAAGGATCGTCCACCAAATTCATTGATCATCAGGGCCTCAAAGGCATACTGTCTCGTGTTAGCATATTCTGGTGGGGCCTAACGAAAGCTAAGTTATCATTACAGCAATGGGGTTCACATAGTTGAGCCACCGGAACCATGGGTGCATATCTCGGACAGGAATGGTAAACCCGGTGTAAATGACCAAGATAAGCATGAAGACCGAAGCAGGAGGCATGGCCTGGGCCACGGAACGTGAGATTGCGCCGATAAACCGGAAGATATTGGACATCACAAGCGTCGTCATTGCTGAAAAAAGGAAGAAGATGAAGAAATGAGGTACAGTTCGCCGAAGATGAGGGATGAAATAGATGATCAAATTGAATACAATTGCCAGTAAAAGCTTTGATGGGATTTCCACAAGCCACGCGCTGATAGCTTCCGCCGAGGGATGGTATGCTGCGTACTTGTAATGTTTTTCCACGATCGGCCGCTGCTGCCACATGATCAAGATTTCGAGTGAGCTAGAGAAGGCACTAATCATGATGGCAAAGAAAAGTAGAGCTGCACGTTTGTAGAAGCTGTCGGTATTGAACGCTAGGTTGAAGAAAAGACTGGCAATGATCAGAGATTCGCTAGTATTTCCAATGAGAGTCGCGAGCGTCATAGCCAAGTCTGCCTTGAGCCGCAAGAACTCTCGCCAGAGACAGAGGCGGATTTGCATCGGATACGACAGGGTGTATGGGGAGGCTGCACGAGTAAACCTAGATTTGTCTGCTGCACGAGAGCGACTGAATTGCTCAAACTTCGTTTCTCTAGCGGTGTTTTCGGCTGCGTTTGCTTCAATCTCAGCAAGCAGCTGCTTACGCTCTGGGCTATCCTTCCAGCGTGCTGCAAACTCATCGGGTGTACGTGGGACGGAGTCTTCAAACCCTGGGCGAACCAGGCGTTCCGAAGGGCTGGTTAGGGAAGTGAGGAAGTCCGCAGTGGTTTGTCTCTCTGGGCAATGGAATCCCATCTCGGTAAAGAAGCGTCGTGCATCGGGCGCACTGCCGAAATATATCTGACGGCCTTCGTAGAGCACAATCGCTTTGTCAAAGAGGTCGTAGATAGATTGACTCGCTTGATATACTGCAACTAAAGCGGTGTATCCGGTATAGTCAGTGGAGAGGCGGATGTTCTTAACAAATTCCAGGGCCGTCGAGCTGTCAAGTCCACGAGTGCTGTTGTCCCAACACTGTAAAGGACAGCGACATAGAGTGGTTTCGGCAATGCTGACCCGCTTTCTTTCCCCACCGGAAACACCTCGAATGAACTCATTGCCCACTTTGGTGTTCATGGTATGGGTCAAGCCAAGCATTGCCATTACCACATCTCGCATATGTGTCGCATACTGATCGCGTGTGACATCAGGGAGTCGGTTCCTCGGCGCTCTAGCGTAAGCGGCAAACAGCAATGTATCACCGACTGTCAGCTGAGGGAAGTGAACTTCGTTTTCGGCTTGGTAGATGACCTCGCCGCGGAAACGGCTGTGCATATCGTCCCAGGACATTCCTTCATACTGTACCTTGGACCCTTTCTCTTTATCGAGATAGAGGCCATGCGTCTCCCCGGCAATGGTCTTGAGGAAGGTAGAGCATCCGCTGCCGGCCGTTAGTAATTGGTTTTCGCTGGGAGCGTCAATTCATATACCTTCCCGGGCGACCTAGTACAACCAGCATCTCACCACTGTGAACGATGCCTTCGAAGTCTCGCAGGATATCAATGCGTACTTTCTTCCGGACGCCAAGGATACTGCGAAACCACCCTGTGCCTTTGAGCCAGAAATTGGCGAAGTTCATCTGGTAATCAGCCGCGGTTCCATAGCCGAAAACATTGAGGTTGCGGAAGGAGACCCCTGCTGTGCGACGCGGGTACCGATCTGGGTCGTGAGAGGTCATCTGGATGAAGTTCTTCACCCATTTACGCGATTTGAACTGGTCACCATTGGGATCGAGCTCTGGATCACGGGTAGGGTCGAGGAAAGTGTTGACACCCTCTGAGGTTTCACTGGTCTTGCCGCTGCCCTGTCGCGAGATTTGTGAAAGAGAACGTGCAAGAGTGGTTATTTGCCCGTCGCGATCATCACCGGGCTCAGATACTGGGGGCATCACCCCGGGGGTATCGACGGCACCATTGTCCGACACGTTTTCCATCGGGTCTGGCATGAGCGGAGTTGGCGAAAAGCCCAAAGATGGAAGAAGACGTGAAGCCATGAAGGGACACGGTCAAGAAGGTAAACGAGAGTTGTTGACAGAAGAGAAAAACAAAAGGTGAGATGCGACAGATGAGTGTTGATAGAAAGGACGGAAGGAGGAAGGAGGAAGAAGAGAAGAAGGAAGATGACAAGAGGCAGAAGGAAAGAACGAACGGCAGCCGGAAAGTGACAGACCCGAGAATCCTCAAGAGGAAAGAGGGAAAAGCGTCAACATCCATGGATGGACCGTCTCAGCTCTTTCCGGAAATGGAGGGAAATGGAGATTTCATGTACTACACTGAATGGACATCTCCATATCAGCTGAATAGGGGAATATTCCCATCTCTGAATATCTATTTGAATGTCACATGGCATTAATGCTCGATAGTATATACACATAACCTCCATATTAAGGTGTTTTCCCGCCTCCCGATTGGCTGCGTAGTAGCATCGGACCCCTCCCCCCCACGCCTTATATTCCACGGTTCATAGCAACTTCCCTTTTCGGTTAATGGATCTCGGATTCGGCCAATATACGACTTTGGTTCGGAGTTGTGAAGATCCGAGAGTATGTAGTATATACCTGATATACTGTACCATATCCGATATCCTTTCACCATCTTTGTAGATGCATTCTGACATGAATATCTTATTTTCAGCTACAATACTACTCGCAGTGGTCGCTATACGGCGATACAAAAGTCTAATGGATTTTACAGAACAGAAAGCTCAAGTGGTCAGACATCCAGACCCCAAAAGGTCCGGTAAAAGGATGATAAGATCATGTGACACTGCTCCAAACTACTCTATGCTCCTCACCGGACCTCATTCAACTCCCTATAGAGCCTAGTACACAGATCTGTCTTCATCTATGCCTGCACAATCAACTCTCTCCAGGAGTGGCGGTCCTCGGACCCCGCAATAACACTACCGTAAGGGAGCACCGCGTCCTGGACACGAGCAACACGAGTGGTAGTCAAGACACGACCACGAGCCGAGACAGCCTCAGCCGCCAAGCGTTGGTATGAGTGACCAGGAAGCGAGAAGGAAGTCTCAAATCCATCACGTGTAGCCTCGCCCAAGAACTCCCGGGAACCAAATCCATCCGTAACGGCGTAGAATCGCCAAACCGCCGTCTCGGTGTCACCATTCCACGAAACGAAAATTTGAGTCCCGGAGGAGGTCTTCTCAGCCACAATAGCCGGTTCTTCGGTCGGCAAACCGGTCCAGTTGTACCGGAATGCCCGATAGTTCTGGACACCCTCGCCCAGCAGTCCTGAGTCCATGTAAGCGTGAAAGATCGGAGTACCGTCCGCCCGGAATTCGGTGATAGCTCCCTCAGAGCCCCAATTGACTAGGGCATTGCCGTTGGGCAGAAGTTGAGTGCTACCTTGGGACTTGGCGAGGAGTCCATCGGGGGGTTGGAAGGCTTGAACAATCTTCGCAGTCCAGGTGGCAGTGTTGACGGAAATAACCTTGCCCTGCGAGAAAGGATGAGTGTGGACCTCTTTGCCACGGTGGTTCTCTGTCCCATGAGCGGAGTTATCGAATAGCGAGATGACCTCCTCATCATCACCCTGCTCGACAAAGCGCGCATGATGCTGGAAGCAGAATCTGACGTTGGGACCGAGCTCAAAGTCTGAGCGTAGACCACCCAGCCGCCAGATGATCTCACCGGTGGTACCGTTGATCTTGTGGACAGCGCAAGCGTCCCGTGCAGATATAAGGTAGTTTCCTTCGACATCCTTGTCCACGGAGTTGATGTGGAAGTAGTCCCATGCGTCGGATGAGTTGTAGCCTGCACCCGCTTGTCCCGGGTTGAGAGGGAGGACCGCCTCTGTACGATGTCAGACTAGTCCATTATAAGCGTTGTGGGTAGTTAACTTACCATCGGGGGAGACATGCTCGAGGCTAGACCACTCAAATAGCAGTTCTCCGGTGTTAAGGTCCAACTCTACTGCGAATTAGCAACAACTCTTCATATATTCTAAGACAGACATACCTTGGAAGATGGCATCGACAATCCACTGCTGCTCGGCACTAGCACCCCAGCGAGACAGATCCCTCGGCACAGGCTGATAGACCTGAAGCAACGCAGTTTTCTCATCGACAACATGGAATTCATGCTTATCCATAAGCTTGTGATTACCAGCGCGGAGCTCTCGGATAGTCTCATAGCGCTGATTCAAAATGGTAGCATGACCATGACCATGTCCATAGGCCGGGTTATGATCACCCTCAAAGCTGAACAGCACATCCTGACCATTCCATCTGGCCTTCTGGAAGTTGGCGGCCCAGATGGAGAAGTAGGTATAGCCCGACCAGACGAGCTCACCGTCATCGCGAACAATATACGGGGCTTCCTGACGCGGACCATGGAACTGCGGCTCAGCCCACTGGCCCGGGAAAGGTGCGATGAAGAGGTAACCCTTCTCGACATCCTTTGTCGCCGGGATGGTGATGTTCAGACGAGGCGGGGCCAGGTCGGTTCGAGATTTGAACTGCCAGTCTGCCGCGGCGAGCGGCAACAGCACTGCGGTGTAGGCGACGGCCTCAAGGAGCTTCATGATAAGTACTGGTCCAGCGATCAGTTTCCATGATTCTGGTCATTTTGTGCATGATAGGGTACATTAACCTTAGATGGGTACTCTGCACTGAGTCTCTTTGACTTCTTTGGTTCGAATAGTTGTGTAAAGAGAGAAGAAAAGAAGAAAATCGCCCACATCCATCAGATCACGTTAAAATAGTTGGTGATCATGTCACAGTGGAATACGATGTCGTGCTTGGCACTTGGCGGGGAAGATAATCCGCTCGCATTTCCCGATCAAGCGCGTCTGAAATCTCTGAAGTTTCCGATATTCGGCCAGGCCCTTCTTTCGTCCTTCGTCATCTTCTAAATCGCAAATCTGTGGTCTGAATTTTGAAATCAACAATGGCATTGAATCCGAATGAAAGTGCTTCGGCCGGCGTGATGACACACGAGAATGAAGTTGAAAGATCGTCGGCACAAGAAAGCGAAGAGCAACCTTTATTGCGATCGGATCCAGTTCCTGTGACTTGGAGCCCACCACCAGGGTTTCTACTGATCCAAATCGGTAAGTTAGACCAAAATCCATACACGATCAAGCAGAATCTAACAATCAACAGCAATCATGGCCAATGTGTTTCTTGGCGGGTTTGACGGCACCATCACTGCCTCGACCTATGCTGTGATCAGCTCTGAGTTCAACGCCGCGAACACTGCTTCGTGGCTAACCACCTCGTACTTGATCACAAGCACCGCGTTCCAGCCTCTGTATGGCCGATTCTCCGATATACTCGGTCGCCGGTCTTGTTTCTTCACTGCAACCATCACCTTCATGGCTGGTTGTCTGGGATGTGCCGTGGCCCGTGATGTAATCTTTCTAAACATCATGCGTGCCTTGACGGGCGTTGGAGGCGGAGGATTGATGACTATGGGTAAGTCGATGATCTTTCAATTGACATATCAATCACTAACAAGCATCCTAGCAACAATCATCAACTCCGATATCATTCCCTTCCGCCAACGCGGCATGTACCAGGCAATCCAGAACGTCTCGTACGGCTTCGGAGCCATCTGTGGTGCTTCTTTCGGAGGTGCCATCGTTGACTCGATCGGATGGCGCTGGTGCTTCCTGCTGCAGGTCCCTGTCTCTTTGTTCGCTTTGGTCATGGGTTATGTAGTTCTAAAGTTCCCAACACGCCACACTGAATCCTCCCCAGGTCGAACTCGAGGAATTTGGCACCAAATCGATATCCTGGGCGCTTGTCTGCTCATTCTGGCTCTATCGGTTCAACTGGTCGGGCTCAGCCTGGGCGGCAACATTCTCCCTTGGACTCACCTGTGGGTAATTCTGCCATTGGTCTCTAGTGTGGTATTGCTGGCTGCATTTGTCGCTGTTGAAGCGAAAACCACGGCCGCACCTTTGATTCCATTGAAGATGCTACGGGGACAACTCGCTGTGTCCACACAGATCGCCAATGTTTGTGTCGGGATGGCAGCATATGCAGTAAGTTCACCTGTTCCACTAATTTTATGAGCATCGTAACTAATGCGAATCATTCAGTATCTCTTTACTCTCCCTCTCATGTTTCAGGTGATTCTCCTTGACTCACCCAGCAAGGCTGGCACCCGACTGGTGATTCCCTGCCTATTCACCCCACTGGGTGGTCTTATAGCGGGAATCATCATGTCGCGCTGGGGCAGATTATCCTCCATTGTACGCGTCGGTGCAGCCCTAATGCTCTTCGGCAATGTGCTCGTCATGCTCCTCCGATTCAACGACTCGGGATGGAAGTATCTCGTCTATGTGATTCCCGCCAACCTGGGTCAGGGGATGGTGTACCCAGGGATCCTGTTCACATTCCTAGCAGCCTTTGATCACGCCGGTAAGATACTTTTTCTAGCCTTGTCGCCAGCCCATTACCCGGATCCACGAGCGACCGAGATGTTTGCCAAGCGAGCCTGCTAACAATATCGTATCCAGATCACGCCGTCTCCGCTTCAACCGTCTACCTCATCCGCTCCCTCGGAAATGTTTGGGGCGTCGCAGTCACCTCCACCATCATGCAGAATACACTTAACTCAGGCCTCGGAGAGGCCTTGAGTGGAATACCAGACAAATGGAAAGTACAATTCCTTCGCCGTTTGATGATAACGAGCCGCTGAATAAGCCTTGCTGACCAATATACTCGCTTCCTCCTAGGTGATCGATGAGATCCGCCACTCAGTCTCGGCTATTTATGATCTTCCCCCGGATGTGCAATTAGCCGCTCGGCTGGTGTACTACCGCGGGATCAGACTCTCCTTCATGGCCTCCGCGATCTTTGCACTCATCGCGACCGTCGCTGCAATTTTCACTCGCGGAAAGGGTCTGGAGCGTGCGGGCGGGAAGTAACGAACACGCACCCGCGCCCCGAATGAGCCCCGCGGGGGATTATAGGGGATAGACGTGGTGTTCATGGTGAGGTCAACCCACGTCTCACGCAGACACGATCGATCGATTGATGCGCGGTCCCAAACTTGCGTGAATCGGGAAAAAGACTCCCCGAAGAAATACATAGAGGTGGTAACGGGCGGAAACAGATCAGGGTGATCGCTTAGCTCAGAGTGCCGATACTCAATGTGACAGAGAGGTGGTAGATGTTGGAAGGATATAGCCTAGAATATAGAAGTTGGCGATTGTGGAATACGAATACTAAGGCTGAGTCTTTCAGTCTGACGAAAATCTACTCCATATACAGTAAGCTGTCAAGCCCGGAAACCGGAAGGCAATATATTTGAGTCATGCTCTGCATACGCAAACTTCCTAGAATATTGACGATACATTAACTGGTAGTGAGCACAGCAATACTCAGATTCGGTAGCTTGAATGAGAACTCGCCCTTCTTGCCAGCCTTAATCTGGGTAGTCTTGCTGTTGACGATATTCGCCCCGCCCACCTCGTTCACCGAAAATGGATCAGGCGCAGTCAGGATGGTGAGGTCTGCCTTGGTGCCACGGCCGACACCCTCGAATGTCAGTGATACAGGCACATCGGATGTGCTGTTGTATACTGCTGCCTTGAAGATGTGCGAGTTGGTCTTGCTATTCAGACCTGTTGCATAGTACAGAGGACCGAAGTCGTCGGAGGAAGTGGATGGGAGGGTGTTTGTCATGAGGTTGTGGTTGAACAGCTATTTTCGCATCTCATGTCAGTGGATATTACTTTGAAGGTCTGATAAGAGTTTAACATACGGTGTACAGGTGCCAGCTAGTGGAGCGAGCTGTCTGGTCGGGATCGGAGTTGAACGAGAGGATGGTCGGGGACCATTGGTAGCTGTCCAAGTTCATCAAGAAGGGAGCCTATTGCTTTGTCAGTTATCTTCTACTAAAAATTTGTTGACACAACTCACATAGGTGGCTCCAATAATCGCGTCTGCGTTGCGCTCAGCACCAAGAAGGAACACAGCCTCGGCAACGGAGCCGATCCACCAAGGATACAGACCGAAATGAGTGTTGCTCCAGTCAATGCCAACTCCGTTATTTGACTCAGTAACGGCAATCTCACCTTGATGTGTGTTAGTTCATATCTCGCAGGTATACCAATTGACTTACCAAGCAGAATAGGATGCTCGGATGTATAACTATCGAACATGTGGAACTTGCTGACGAAATTATCCGGAACATCGTACAAATGGTAATCACCACCTGCATTTCCAGGAATCGTGATATCGATAGTAGACGCAAGGACTTGGATATCGGGGTACTTGGCCGTGATAGCCTCGTAGAATGCCGAGAACCGGTAGGACTCGTACGATGCCAGACCGCTGCTCAGCATATCTTCATTTCCCACCTCGACATACCGAATTGTCCAGGGTTTTGGGTGTCCAACTTTGGCACGTAGAGCGCCGTACTCGGTATCAACAGAGCCAGTCAAGAACTCGATCTCGTTGAGGGCATCTTGCACATAGAAATCGAGATCGGCCTCGGGGACAACTTCTCCGTTAAGAGCGAGTCCAGCCCAAACCGCCAGGACTAGAGTTCGTCAGTTATGTAAAACAAAACGTGCGAAATGATGCGAAATGATGTACTTACTGGGCTCCATTCCAAGATCGTCGCACCATTCCATATACTCAACCAAGCCTAATCCAAGGGTCTCTTGGTATTGCCAAGTGGTTGCACGACCAGGTCGGTCTGTGAGTGGTCCAATGGTCTCGTTCCACTTCCAGCGTCCGTCGATGCTGTCACCCTCGAGGTTATTCCCACCAGGGAAGCGGAGGAATTTCTATCAAGATTATTAGCATCATGGATCTTTCAGGGCAACATTTGAACTTTAACTTACAGGACCCATATCAGCCATGGCTTGCATCAAATCTTTCCGCATGCCATTGGGGCGATCATTCCATGTGGGTGGGAATAAGCTGATCAGATTGAAATCAAGCGAGCCATTTGATGCACTCTAGATAGGATTAGCCGAAGTGCATAGCAAGGCCCCTATCTCAAATCTTACCGAGCCATCGAAGGTCAGCGAGAACGTATTCTTGGTATCGGAAGCCTTTGCTTTGGGAGTCAGAACAAACTCATGCTGAACCCAGTCGTCTGCAACACTCTTTGAGGCAACCTTGGTAGTGGCCAAAGCTTCGCCGCTGGAAGAGAGGAGAGAAGCCGTGAAGGAGCCCGAGTAAGAACCTTTCACATAGAATGATCCGGTATACTTCTGAGGACGGACGTCAATTCCCCAGAAACCCGCATTAGTCAACCCAGCTGTGCCAGTACCCTTGACATTGACTGAAGTTGGAAGGGCAGTAGAAAGTGGGTCAGTGAGGTTCTTAAGGGACAGCGATGAATCCCCAACAACAGACCAGGCGTCCAGTGACGAAGGGAACTTTGGACTTCCTTGGAATGCTCTGTTTCGGATCAATTCAGCATAGAGACCTCCTTCGCCACAGTGGTTGATTTCCTAAACCTTAAATTAGATCCGATGACAATAGACACGGAGCTCAACCTACCTCTTCCATCGCACCATATTGCAGACCTGATGTAGCATTGCCTCCAGATTTTGCCACAGATATAGTGACCGCAGCACCATATGACGCCAAAAGCGGCAGAAGAAGATATTTGTGCAGCATTTTGCGTGTTTAGTCCCAATTAGCCAATGCTATTTGAAATGCAGGGAATCTGAGTAAAATGCGCGCTGTAACGGATATTTATATGGAAGCAGCTCAATCCCCCAGCGAGGAGTGCCCTGCCGGATAATTACCTGCGCTCCTCATTGTACTCCAATTGACCCGGATGGATCGAGGTGACACCTAAGGGTCATAAGATTATGTCTTCCTTTGGGCAGAAGATCTGCCGACACCGACTGTAAGACTGAGGTTTCTTCCCAATGAAGTAAATCTCCATGAGGGGTTCGAGGGCCATGACTGGATCTCTTCCTTTGCACAAAACAATCTGCCGAATCGACCGCAATACCGACACTTCATTCCCAATGAGGTAAATCTCCACGGGGGTGCATGGATCAAGACAGAGGCAGTATGTAAACACCGCCTAGGGGAGATTTGGTGCGAGTAAGGCCAACGTGTGTCGTAACAGTGTGTTCTTGCGTTGGGCGATGCAATACCGCTGCAGCATCTTGGCAGGAAAAGTGCCGAGGCTTATTCCTGCAAGTAATTTCCGGCTCTTCGTGTTGATTCGAGAGCGAGCACCGCACAAGAGACGCGTCTACCTTGGCTGCAGTTGAGGGGTAGTTGGTCACGGCTATGACTGAGGATGTGAGTTGTGATTGACGGGTAAATCCAGCCTTTCTCCGCAGATCCTCCACTCTTCCCCGGACTGTGCCTTTCCCCCAGTTTTTTGCCTGCTCCAAGACCTTTGCGTATGTCTTAAAGATAGTTTCTATGTAGCTTTACATTAAGCTAATAATTAGCGAATAAAAAGAGAGTTATAGTGTTAGAGTGTTGAGAATTAGATAGCCGCTTATACTTAAGGGTGGTAGAGTGGTACACCAAATATGAAAGATTTGTAAATAATCTGATTGAATTCAGAAATATCGGTGATAGGCCCTATTTCTGTAGCATTAATTGTACATGTAAAGCTCTTGCAAATAATAATCTCGCTTGGATAAATAACTGGTCTTCCATGACATTGGTATATATGGATGTGGTATCAACCTATTTGTACATTGAAAGGTAATCATGATCAGACCTGATCTTCCCCTATCCTGAAATGGCCGCCTTAAAGGCCAGTTCCAGTTGTCCCACTTCAAGTTATGGGTGAACATCTGATTCAAAATCGACGACAATATGTCCATGCTTTCCCCCGGATCAGGAGTAGACATCGGCAGACGAAAAAGACAAGAAACGGAAAACAAGAAACAGCAGGGAATTAGCGATAATGATTGCTGCTGCGAGTGTATCCTCCCGGGGATCATGAAAGAAGGGAATAGTATGATGCGCACAGCCAGATATCCAACCGGACACCATTGCTATCTCAAAGATTCCTTAGAAGACAGTACCCTTGACCTGTGCGATCTCCTTGAGATTGAGGTTTTTGATCAACATGGTCCAAATGATGGCCAGACCCATGATACCCACACCAACCGAAAGCATAATGACTTCGGAATAGCCGTAAGCGGCCTGGATAGCCAGTCTGACCTCGCTCCCCATGGGATAGCTAGTCTGCACTGTGATATCTTCGTAAATGTTGTCCAAGTTTGACAATTCCGACGCTGGGAGGTATCTCGCAAGAGCGCCGGGGAAGGTATTAGTCCAGATAGCTGTGCAAATAGTGTAACCGGCGGAGTCGCCGATAGTACCAACAACGTTCAACAAAGCCAATGCAGCAGCGACGTGTTGATGATCCACGGCAGCCAAAATAGAAATCTGCTCGACGATAATAAAGATCGAACCGCCAATTGAGATGAAAATCTGGCACATAACCTGGTATCCGACGCGCATACCGGGCTTACGGAAATAGATCATCAATCCCTGAGCAAAGATGTAGAGAGGAACAGAAATGTATAACAACCACTTGAACCGACCGGTCTTTCGGATAGCCCAGCCGACAAAGAAGAGTAAAACACCGGACACGACATCGAATGTGTTATTCACGTATCCAGCCTCGGCAATCGTTAGGCCGTTGACCACCTGGAGGAAGGAGGTGAAGTAATTGTTCCAGCAGTAGAAGGATAGCTGATAGGTAGCATCCAGAAGACAGGCACCGACAACGGTTCGGTCGGTGAGGAAGGTAATGTTGAGCAAAGGCACGGGAGCTATCCAGTTTTCGTAGATGGCGAAGAAAAAGAGCATCGAGAACCCGACAGCAAGCATGGCGATGATATAATTCGAGCCCCAGCCGTTGGGTGCTTCACTTGCGATATCGAAAGGAAGTTCGAAGATGACTAGTCCACCAGTAAACATGAAAACACCAGGCACTGTTCGAGATTAGTGTCTGTTTGAAGAAGTAAATGGTTGAAATTGGGAAGTCGTGTCGATAATGTCCGACCGGCGGGATATGTGCACCGAAATGATAGAGAAAGGTAATACTCACAATCAAACTGCATAGTCCAATACCAGACACCTTGCAAAAATGTGCGACCACTTTTTTCCTTGATCCGATGACCTTCCCTTTCCGCTTTGCGAAGAGTGGTCTTGAGGATGAAGTACAAAGGCGCCGCCACGATGGGGAAGATGATAGCCCAACAACCCAGGCCCCATCGCCAGCTGACCTGGTAGTAGAACTCATCTGCTACCTTTGCTCCAGCAAATGCAGTAATAATGTATGGTGAAGAAGTGAAGGCATACGCCAGGCCTCGGTTCTTCAATTGGGAGGCATCGGCGGTCACCACATCAATGGAGTATTCCATGCCGCTGAATCCGAGATTGTAAAAGACCTAGTACTCGACCGTAAGTATGTGCAAAGGAGGTTCGTTCTGAGGAGCATCTCAGAATAAATGGCAGTCTTACATATCCAGTACAGTAGATGGCAAAACTGTTGCAAGAGGCCAAGAGAATCAATCCCAGTGTAGCGAAACATGTCATCAGCAAAAATCCCTCTGCACGGCCCCAAGTATCCATCATCTTTCCGACGGGGATATAACTTGCTGCCGCAAAAGCATCGGCAAGCGCAACAGGCACACCAGACAGTGAGTGAGCCGAGAAGGAACTGGACACGTAAGGGCTCAAGCTGGAGAAAACTGAAGATTGGAAGGCGTTGACAAAATATAGGAACCAGATACTATAATCGACTGCTTTAGCAACTGTTCAACCTTATTGTCTAGGGAAACGGCTTACTTGATGAAAACCAGAGCCAAGGTTCGCTTGGACCAGGTCAAGGTGATGGCCTCAATATCTCGGACACCATGTTGGAGGTCTTCCCCCGGCATATCGGCCTGTTGAAGTTCTGTGTCGGTGGCAGGATCTATCTTGCTTGGTTGGATTCCATCCGCTGGGGCAGGTGTGTCAATTGAGCTTGCAGCGTCAGAGGCCGCCATGCGGCTAAAGACCGTTCGGGCCCTTCGGATCAAAAGACGGACGCCCATATTGGAGAGGTAAAATTAAACAAGCGTTCAGTACAAGATTGGAAATAATGGGGCGCCCGTTGCACTTATAGTATACAAAGTCCCGAGATCGGCACAGTTCGGATAGGACACCGAGACAGTGAAAAAAACACGCGGTGTCGTGACCCGCATAGCAAAATCGGCCTTTGGCCTCTAGCGGTGATTTGGTGAAATTAATTATATCCACTCATCAGCGCATTCCAGGGCTGCTAGCCTAGGGCTTGCCCCACCGGCAAATCAGAGCGAAACAGGGCAGATCTAATCAGATGTCGCCCTCATCTTATCTAGCGAGCGCTAGGCCCGAGCGGGTAAGCGTCGACCACAATAAGCTTTGCAGCGTCGGTCTCAAGCTTCGCTTGGCCTCTTGGCTGCAAGAATCCATATTAACTGTGGGTACTTCCTCGTCTTCCGGTCATGAATCATGGAATTGCCTCGATTGTCTCGCTTGGTTGGGAGATTGATAAAAGAAGTGGTCGGCACATCCAACGGTCCCTGCCGCTGATTGGTTCACGGGCCCCTTACCCCTTATAAACTCGGAAAATCTCCATGAATCAGAGTTGAGAGTCGTGCAAATCAAGATTAGTTCGGGGTGTGGCAACCGGATATAGCAAAGCGCTCGGCGCAGCCCTCGTTTAGGAAACAATTTCGGATCACAGGCTAACCACTTATTGACCGTCAGACGGCTCGCGGGTGGAGAACGCGGTCATAGCGAAATTTCAAAGGTTATGCATAGAAAACGTGAGAAAGGGGAAGACGATATATAGCAAAAGGACAAGTAAAAAGACTGCTGTCGAGCTAAATGGATCGTGTTATTCCCAAAGAGAGACGGCGCAAGTTCGGCCGACTATTTTGGTCTTCTGGTTCCAGCTGGAAGGTTACTCAATTGAATTACATAATTGGTTCTTGCTGCCCAGTGGCTGACAAGGATTTATGTGACCGGCAAGGCTCGAGAGCAGCGGCGACTCCGAAGATATAAAAGCAACTCGCCCGAATATTTCTTTCTGTACCACGAAATATATATTTTACTTCCTATTCACATGTATCTTCATTTATTACAAGATGAGGTTCGGTTTAGAGTGGTGAGAATATATGAAGGTCATATAAAGAAGGTCCCAAGTGCTTGTGCCCTTAGAGAGATGATTGGGAGACTTGTCGAGATCATGCTGTCGTAGGATTCCTTAACTTGCTGACCTTCAACTGATGATCTGAGTTCTCCACTCGGGATCTGCCCGTTTGCGGGCATATCCTTTATGGCTTTTTGGATTTCACGCAGGAGGGGATCATTTCTTGGCTGTCGCGCATAATAGAGGCCATACACCTTGACTTTCGGGTAAGGGCTTCTTCGTTCTATTATCATATTCGCCTAAACACGAGAAAAACATCTGCCCATGAAGGAGTTGAATGCTCTTGTACCACAATTTTAGTGCATGTATCAGCGGAGTACAGCAACGAGAAACTTGCTTCGACTTCGTCATCCACTGCTCCACAGATACGTATTGAGCCGAGTAACTCCGTGATCTAAGCCATAGATTTGCGCGCTGAAACGGACGTACCTTTTCTCGGGGCAACTGCATCTTTGCGTAAACAACCATGTAGTTGATCGGTACACCATTGTCTGGAGAATTGAGGGATACTCACATCCAATAATGGAATTTGGATCTCAAGGGCTTCGGTTAGCAATGATCCGGCCCCTTTAAGCTGCCATCCGTCCGTATATATACTTGCCATTGTTACCATGACCATCACCGTTCTGGGATTGGCCGATCCGAAGACCCTTCTGTAGATATGCAGTACTAGAATGGCTAGCTCTGACACATCCAAGAGATGTCCGTGGGAGCAGCAATCCATGAACAGGCAACTTATAGCATCAATCGTCTCAAATGAGCCCACACCAAATGCTTTGATATGATGTGGGATAACATTCCTGCAAAGCTCTGCAGACTTGTGGTCTTCAAAAGCGTGTACATAGCCGATACCGGTGCAAAGCCCGGACAGCTTCGATGCTATTGAAGTCTTTTCTGCGGTTTTTCCAGTCCTCGCTTATTTTGATTGCCTTCTCCGGCTACCCTTGCCATGAACAGCCAATCGCCACCCAATCAAGACCCTAAATAGTCCATACGCTTTCGGGGCCAAAAATTCTCTCTGAAATTTTGACACTCCCGGTGAGAAGTTTCTTAGCTTCTTTGTATCTTCGATCAGTCATTTGACATCTGGCTAACTTGAACAAAAAACGCATCCTCGGAAGATGGGTCCTCTCCTACCGTTAGATCAAGGACCCGGAGTGCATGAGGGACACATACTCGCCACTGGTTCATAACCTGCCACATCAGTAAGGGGGAATCGGGCATCTAGCCCACGTAAAACGTCCAATTGACTTTCGGAGGGAGTCTACTGATTGCAGCCAGTTTCTTGTTGCAAGATGAACTAAGCGATGCATATCAAGGCAAGAATCTTCATGCGTGGCACGTACAAAGCAATAGGAGCTGAGAACACCGATCGCCTTTTTCTGTTCGACATTGGACGCCGGCGGAAGGGACAAAATCGGAATATCCTTCTCTTTGATACAGGCCATAAAGCAGAGAGAGATAGTCGGCAGCGAGAGGATTTTGTCGTCGAATTCGCTCAAATTATGTGAGCCATGTGGTCACGACAGGGTTTCGAATGCTTTTGTATCTACCTTTATCATCAAAGTCCTGACTCAGAAGATCGATGGCACCCTTCTCTTGTCCGACTAAAAGCTCAACGTAGCTAGCGATTGCCAAGCTGTTCTCGTTGATAAATGAAACTGCTTGCACAATAGCCAAAGGGAGACAAGTCAACTGCTCAAGAAGCTTTGGGTATCGTGAAGAAGTTCCTTGTCAATCAAGGAGTTTTGCAATACATGAGTAGCTCTTTGCTCGTCCATTTCGGGAACCGAATGACGTCTGTTGCGGTAAAATGTTGAGCTACTTTATTGCTTCGAGTGGTAAAGACGATGGCGCCTTGGAAGTAATTTTTTAACCCTCCAGGTGTTGAATTCTTGCTTTCAATACACAAGGAATTAACAGCCATCGCCCAGCGCTGGCCTGATCAGGTGATCTTTGGCAAGACTCTTTACATCCTCATTCTTGTCGTGGAGGCCGATTGCAAACTGGTCGGTCACCGTCTGGTATGCCTGTTGAAGACTCTCCATATACACTGCAGAAAGCCAAAAAATAGCACTATCTGGATAGATCTGTCGTGTTTGATAAGCAGCTTCAAGGCAATCTGTGTTTTGCCGATTTCCACAAGTCCAAATGGCGATTCTTTCGGCTCGATGGTTGGTAAGGTTTTCCCTTTACCTCATTGCTCTATCGGGCCATAAAGCTACGCTGGGGACCCTGGGATTTAGTCGCCATTCTGACCGATGTCTTCGAAAGAATTCTGAGCAAATTGTCATTCATGGGGACTTGTGCGTGATCGCCAGTTCCAACAGACACAAGATTTGTCAAGCGTTCAGCTTGACAGGAATGGATACTTTGAGACTATTGAAACTTCAAGATCGCCAGTTTGAGCACAAAAACAGACTAGGTTAAGCATTAGATGATCATCGGCATATGGTGTAACATTATTTGGATATATCCAATGTGATAATGGATATCTTGAGTGCATTTCAATGCATACGCGCATGTATCCGAGCAACGGATAATTATGTATGTTGTAAGATCAATCAAATAAACTCTTGAACGCAATGAACGAATACTTAAAGCTAGAATTGACCGGACTGGAGTATTTCTCCCAGAGCAATGAAAGCCCAATGCAACAGACACAAAGGAGATTATTGGTATTCAGAAAGCGCAGTGTTCTGTCCTAGAATGTTGTGGGCGTATCGAAAAATCCCAACGCCTGCAAGAAGAAAGGTATCGTCGATGTCATGGGTCATAGAGTTTAGCAGCACTCGTCGCAGCATTCGCAGCAATCGTCGAGGGCCAAGCAACAACACATCGCGGCCAGACTGAAAGAAAAGAGCTCAGATTAGTGTTGTTCCCACCTTCACCGACAATATGGTTACTTACCAACCCATGAGACATCCCCGGTCAGATTTTTGTTCTTGAGGCTGTTGAGGTGGAGGAGGAGCTTGGTTTGGGTATTGCATCTGTTTATCGGTAAGTATGTGTGGCTTAGGTGGTTAATTATGTCAACACTTACTCCACCAGGCTGGCCTTGGGCGTACTGAGGGTACTGGCCTTGCGGGTACTGGCCTTGCTGGTCATATCCAGGCTGCTGGTAGTATCTGCATTTGCAAGTTGATCAGCACCATGTCCAAAGTATTGACCAAGACACGAGCTCGCCGCAGACCAGGCGACAACTTTTGCGGTCGCAAAGCGTACAGAAGCCGACCGGTCTCGGTTTAAGTATCGCCAATTGTTGGTCCTGGCAAGACGGCGAAAATCGACTTCTGGGTTGATAGGTGCTGACTTACCCCGGCTGAGGGCCAGGCGGAGGGGGTCCATATCCTTGCGGAGCGCCAGGCTGGTACCCATACGGAGGCTGCTGCTGCGCATAAGACATGGCAGCGGGAGGTAATCTTCTAAAATCGAGGTAGAACGAATCAGCGGCTGATCACAATCAACATTATACAACATAAGGATTTGCGACGCCTTTGTGATGAGACCAGGGTCACGGTGCATGAATGGCTACCACAGCAGCTAAATCCACGTACTGGGATAAGGCGAAGACAGAGATTGGTCGAAAGGGGGAGGCTGTGATGAGCCAAAATAAGCGATTGAAGAGATGGAAAGAGATGAAGGTGAAGATGCGAAGATGTGAGGTTAAAAGTGTCAGAAAGGAGAAAAAGGCAACTCACTTTCTCGAGGTTGTATTGCAGGTAAGAAGGAAATTGTCGGGGTACTTGAGAGGTACCTGACCGGTGCGCCCGATAGGGGCATTTGGCCGCCAAGACTCCAGGGCTGAGGTACCTTTGAAGTACCTTTTTGTCTCTCCTCCTTTCCCCTGCTTCTCCACACGGGCCGATTTGCTAGTAAATATTGATTCTTGGCTTTTTTTTGCTTTTATCTCGGTGCTTGAGACATTTGCAGGCGAATACTTCTATTTCCAACTAGCAACAATCGGAATACTAACATCGCAGTACCTCAGACATACCCATCGACCCTTAGACCACAGTATCACCTAAGTCCTACCAGCCACAGTTCTGCCAGCCCTATCGCCAACAAAGGCCGTCAGCCACGAATTGCATCCCTTGGACGGCATTCCATTGGCTGAGGATCGGCCACCGGGTCACACCGGACTCCACTCCCGGCGATGGTCAGCCACTCACAGTCCGTGTCTGACTCTTGGCACTCACCGCCGGTATTGTTGCTGCCTGGGCAGTACCCGGTACCTGCATCCTCATACCACGCAACACTCTGATGCTTGTACCTGCTACAAGTACAGGGATGAATACAATTGCAACGGTGTACATGCAAGTGCCATTGATTATCAAAGATTACCTTCTTACTGTCAGTACGCCCTGTGAGAATTGGTCTCCACCGAACGCTCCACCGAATGCCAATGCCAGTATCACACGATATACAAACTCGCCAAAGAAACAAGATATAAAGCCAAAAGATCGAATCCCTAAATCCCAGAGACCATTAACCACAGCCCAAAGTACAGTACACGAACTCGATCATACAGTGCTCTGGACAAACTGTCGTAAAAAACCCAGTGACAAAATGAAGCAGACTACGATTGCTCACTTGAGATATGAATCAGTATCAGGCGTGCAGGATGCCTGCGAACCGGATAATGAGGAATCTTCCGACTCCTCGATGTCGAGGTCGAGGTCGAGATCAAGATCCATCTCAAAATCGAACTCAAACGGAACATCGGGAAACTCGGGGAATTGGTCAGACTCCTTCAGCGGAGCGGACTCCACAACATAAGGAGGCTGACCCTCAACCAGGCCACAAGCAGCAACAGCAAGTTGATACCCAGGGTCCCTAGTCGAAAGATGCGTGGGATTCCGGATCAGAAGCTTCGAGTTGGTGCCATCGCCAGCCGCCTCGGTGACTTCCTCTGCGGCAACCATCCAATGTTTCAAAACATCCATGCCGGGCTGATTACCTCCGCCCTTCCCGCCGCGCTTCTCACTGTCTTTCCCACGGCCCCCGCGGCCCCGCTCACAGGGATTGAAATGCGTGCGGCGCAAATGTGCAGCGGCATTGTAATTGGCACCGTAGCGCTTCCCATTGCGACAAGCCTTGCAATTTGCAAGGAAGTACTTGCCAGGCGAGATATCACGGCAGACCCAGACCGTGCGGACGGAAGCGTGCACGCGCTCGATATGGCGGCGCAGCTCGTGCTCGCCGTGGAACCCGTCCGGATGGTCCGTGCAGATGCGGCAGTATGTCTTTGGTCGCGGGGGCCGTCGCACGGAGGCCTTGGGGATAGCGGCGACTTCCTTTGTTGTGCCGTCTGCCGAGGAGATGCGGACCATCTTGTGGTTGTCAATCTGGGACATGCTGCTGGCCACAGACTCGACCTTTGGAGCAATGCGGCGCGCGGCCTGGGCGATTTGCTCTTTGGTGCGTCGCACAGCCCGGGAGCGCTGTGAGGCCAGGGTATGGCCGTCGATGCAGTCGAAGAGGAGGCGATTGTGGGGCATTGGGTAACGAGAGGAGGCGGCTGGGGGAGCGGATGCTGAGAATGGTAGGTTGGAGAAGGACGATGGGTGAGAGAAAGGGGAATGGGAGAATGGGGAAGACGATGTGGGATCTAGGTCAGGGTACACGGGGGAGAGAAAGGAGTCTTGATACGGCAGGCCGGAGGTAGAAGGCACCCAGTCTGGCGGCACGGAGTCAGTCGGTTCTTGATACTGAGCTGGTCCGGTCGAGTCGAAGCGGATCATGTTGATTCCACCGACTAAGGAGTCGGCGGTCGTGCTGCGGGACATCTCCGGCGCAGCTGCTGGGGCCTGGTCGGTCCAGGGGGACGTCCGGTCAGGGTATTGAGGGAAAGGTCCGGGTTGTCCATGATTTGCGAGTCCGAAAGTCAACGCCGAGTCACAGGGTTGACTGGGAGGAACGTCCAAATACTTTGCGAAGTCGGATGGCGAAAATTCGTCGACATGGTCGAGGCGATGGGTCCGTACCAGGCCGAAGGATTGGCGTTTACCTATGGCGGCACCGGTGGGCTGGTGCTGGTGGGAGACCGGTATTTGCTGGCTCTGGGAGCGCACCATCGGCGTGTGTCGGTAGGAGTCTTGTCCCGCGAAGGCAGCGCCGTTCCGAGGTGGGTCTGCGGGGCAGGCGTAGGAGAGGTCGCGTGGGCAATCGACTGAGAGATCCGGGGTCTGCCAATTGTCAATCCAAGGACGAATGGCGGTTGAAGTGAGGAGACGCGAGCGCGAGGAGAAGGCTGGAGCAAGTAACCAAGGTCACACATACGGTGGCTCTCCGTTTTGCCTGAGGAAGACCCAAATCACAACATGGCAACGTCCGTGGTGTCGCATCCTGTCGATTCCGTTTCCCCAGGCTCCCAGCTGGCTGCCAGTTGGTATCCCGGTCGTTGGCCGGGATGAACTGACTCAGCCGTTCAATCCAGAGCTGATTTCGTTCATATTCCGGGAGGTGGGAGTGTTGGACCAAAAAGGCTTCGTGGTATCCGGAGATGGCACTGGTGAACAGTTCGTCATCCAAATTGACAGTCATGGCGCAATGGGTTCCTCGCAATGGCCGGGAAGTAACTGTCTATCAGTAATAAAATGGATGGAGAAGGGTGGTTTGTATTCTGCGAATAGTTAGCGCATGCTTTGCGCGAGAGAATAGGTAAGAAATGCGTACGTAGAATTGGAGCGCAATAGTAATAAAAAAATCAAGTCGAAGCTGCGCGGGTGGAAAGCTGAGCTTATCAATGCAATCAACGAAGATCTGCGTTGCGATGAATGTACCACGGTTTGCTGTATAGTGAAGGACAAAAACAATTAGACAATATGGCAAGTTGGGAGAAGAAGCAAATGCAGATTGGGCCGACGAGTAGATAAAAGAAAGAAGACAAAAGTTCTGATCGACGATGAAGGACACTCCCCACAAAGAGAGATACGAGAATTGGCAAGCAGAGACTACTCCGTACTATACTCCGTACTCCCAGAAACGTGGAAGCCGGTGATCGGGTCTGGACCCTGAGATGTTCGGGTAGTCATGTATATCTCTTTCCGGTATGTTCTGCTTTTTTTAATAAAATATCATGGACGCAAAGTTTATCCGTGTCGAGGTCATCAGCAAAGGCATGCACCCGGGTAAGAAAGCCGACAACTGCTAGAAGCGAGATCCTGCTGGGTGCGAAGCTGCAGACGGCCGAGAACGAAAAGGAACTAAAAGTGAAGCAGCGAACCGGATCACCCCGAGAGTGGTCCGAGCCAGCAGATGCGTCCTTGCTTACGAAAAGGTGACCTGATACATGTAAACCGGGGTACATGACACAATACATATAACCAAGTCACTGGTCCCTCAAGTAGCAAGCGCCTACAGCGGGAGCATGAAAGAAACTACAAAACCCCTCCGTTTTCCGGTCCAGCACCGCCATACTCCGAAACAACTCCCTAGGATCCATTTGCTACGGTCGGACCAAGAACTGCCACGTCGTCTGGCGTGGCAGCTGGGGCATCCTGCAGATGACGCTGTTTGGCTCCCTAGGTCAGCGCCCAATGTCCGATCGAGATGACTAGCAAAGAATAATAGCGTGATTAATGAGGAAGTACAACATAGCCGAGGAAATAGTGTAGAACGGTTCGATTCACGTGTTACCGTGTTACCGTGGGTCGTTGCAAGGTTCCCGCCGCAGTCCCACGGTTCATGTTTATGCTTGTCAGGGATGGCCCCTATAAAATATACAACAGGGTGTTCTCGTATGTTGTAGTCAATGTTCCCAATTATGGTCTCTTTCGCTCCTGACACTCTACACACTATGGATCGACCCCTCCGATACGCCATATCGAGACTATTCGGGATACACGAGGTTAGTACAGAGGCTCCACGGTCTGAGGTGGATCGGTCTCCTGATCGGATAATGGTTGGACATTTATTGATCCGCTATGATGTTGAGCGTTGGCGACTATGTTGTGCCGGCAATAGATTCCTTACATTATAGAGCGGCAATCTCGGGCTCATCGAAAATGGACTCCGTACCTCACTCCGCGATCACGTCGATCTGTTTCAGGATAGCTCTTAGAGTGAACACAACATGGCCACGAATCAATCTGTACGGGGTAGTCAATGAGGATCGCCGGCTAGACATTCTGTCACCTAACAGGAAATTCTTCACCGTAGTATTCCGTACTTCGTACAACATTGTAAATTTCGACGATGGATCATTTTTCCTATCCCGAGACAGGCGGGATCACGCCCGTCGAATGGGCGAATTTCGGTTTGATCATCTATCGCCTACATGATAAGCTAAGAGTCCTCCCCACATTCGACACGAATTTGCTCTCACCGTCAACTCAAATCCTTGACCGACTTCGTCATTCTACGGGGGGAACGGATTGACAGGGTACGGGGTTCTTACGTGATTACCTGCGCCATGTCAAAGCTCGTGGCTCTGCGGGTGTTACATGGCCCAGACGCTGATAAGTCTGCCCCTGCATTAATGCTAGCTTTTAAGCTGATGCCTGCAGTCATAGGTTGTCTCGGGTCCGACTAGAAACCCATAGATGAGCCACCTTGGTGGTGTGCACGGGACAAGTCATTATAATGCATCACACTGAAATAGGAGACCTATACGGAGTATTGATTTAATAAGTATGCTCGTGCCTAAGTCTCAGCTGATGATATTGACTGATGATATTGACTCCCCGAGCGTACAGTATTAATTCGGGATAGAACGGCTTGAGAACCTATATCCTCCAAGTTAACGCTTTTCAATTCGTATACTTCGCGCCCACGGTCCTACCTGGGATTTAAACGTATATATGCAGCCTACTTCCCCATGTCGATCGCGTGACATGGGACAGCTCAGCCGATTTGCCGACAAGCGATAGAAGAAAGCGAGCTGGCTCCAATAGTAGTAGATCCCAGACGCCGAATGGGTTGGGCTGCAGTGTTTCATGACTCGGGGAAAGCATAGATCGAGCTTCCATGCAAGTTCCATGGCCTGGTTTCCAAGTAGGCGAGAAGTTTGTGTCAGTAGGTTCATTTTCTTTGCCTACTAGCATGATTGGTTTGCTTCTCTGCATATCGCTGCGCTTCCAGTGTAGGACGCGTCCTTTGAGGCTCTTAGGCTCTTCTTCTAAAGGACCGTGGATACATATTTCTGCAGCCTGCTATAACACAAGGACACCTGGTGTTTATTTGAGTGAATACGAGGAACTATTATAGGTGTGCACTATCCGTCTCGTGCGCTTGTGACCACACTCACGGGATACAATATATATCGGGCTGTTGTTGGGTACTCCCAGGTAGCAAGAGATTATTCATCCCATACGGGTGTAGAATCTTTGTAATTCGGCAATTTCGCCAAGACCAGTCCAAACCGTTATCAATAACACTCCCATGATTGGATTACTTGATGACCTCGTGAACCAACTGGTATCGAATTGCTAATAATAGGGAAAGTGCCCGAAGTGCGAGAAGTGCCTAAAGACGTTTAAGTTGACGTTACTAAAACCTGCTTCTTACCCAACTCTTCATAAAGTCTATAGCTTAGTTAGTGGGTAGGCATGCTGATCATGCTCAGACCTTGGGCCAGATGATGATGTTTGATAAACATGTGACAGGTAACTATAGCCATGGCTGGCGCATATTCTTGAGGGATGTCAGGTTGCTGTTCACGGAATAGACCTGGTGTTCCAGACTGAACCCGAACAGGTGAAACCAACCAGAATATTCCAGGATACTTGGATCTCTGGATCTGACGTCAAGTTGCCACACTGGGGCCCTGGAAAGATAGCAGTTGGACATATGGAACGGCTCGTGTGGAGAGATGTACTCGACTGAGGGGATTGGTATACATCATAGACCGAGTACAGCTACAGACATATATAGGGGGAGAACCCGCTGAAATCGAGAGAGCATTCATCTGCACGTGATACCCACCAAGCCACGTCATAACAAATCCCCTAGGGGGTAAATAAATAAATTTTCTCCTGTAGAAGCTCAATCCAAGAGGAAAGACAAGACTAACCCCTGAATGAATTCAGAATTCCTTCCATAAGACCCTATCTCTCATCCTCAACACCCATTAATTGCACCATCAACACCACAGCTCCAACATGTCCGACTCAACCCTCTACCTTTACACTTCCCTAACCGCGGGGTCGTCGCACATTATCACAGCGACCTCCAGAATTGAGACAATCCTCAAAGCGAACAAAATCCCCTTCCGCGCCATTGATGTCGCCACCGACGACGCTGCCCGCAAGCTCTGGGGCCGACGCTCCAAGGGCAAGAAGATTCCAGGACTGGTGAAATACGGCGATATTGTGGGAGTATGTGACAGCCCCTTGCATAGATGCCGATTTCACGCAGTTCTGTTATACCAATATACCAGGAACCCCGCTAACCCCAGCGACTTGTAGGATCTCGAAGAGATCGAAGAATGGAACGAATTCGGAGAATTGCGTATGGTAGTAAACAGCGTCCAGGACCTAGGTGGAATGCCACCCACCAGCTATCCTCTCCCGGCGACCGAGCCCAAAGCCGAGTCGACACCAACTACCCTCAAACCCTCCACGATCAAGATCCAAAACCCTCCCGTTACCAAGCATGAAGACAAGAAAGACGATATGACCGTGCTGGCCCTGCGCCAAGCTAGCTCGGAGGCTGCCACCAAGGCGAAGGCCAAGTCAGACGATAAGAAAGACGCGAAAGCACAAGCTACAGGGGTACCTGTCGCCAGTCGCGCGCACTGCGGCTCGGTGGCCCCCGAATTGCCCGACACCGCTCCGGAATCATCACAGGCCACGAGACGTCCGACCCTAGTCCCCGAACAAGCGGCCGTATCGTCGGCAAACTTCCATGCAGATAACGCAGAGATGCTCGGATTGGTTGGACACCATCGCTCGTCCAGGATTTCGACACTCGACAACGCGGAGCAAGACAAGACGGTGCACGATATTAGGCAGTCTATCTCTGCAGAGCCGACCGGCAATATTGATGCTCTGCGCAAAGAGGCTGCGGACAAGGCGGGGAAAGCGAAGTCCCCATCGATTAAGGAGGTGCCAGTTGTTGATGATGTGGCCGTCGAGAATAAGGAAGAGCTCATGGAACCCAATGAGCCTAAGGGCAATGCTATTGCTGAAATGCTTGCGACGCCTATGCCGCAAGAAATCAAGTCGGAGTCTAAGGATGATACCAAGGGAGGGCTGTCTCCCACACAGAAGTCGGAGTAGGCAACTACCGGTTCAGGATCGAGGGAGTCGCTGTTCACGAATTCGACGATTATGACATCTGTACATCAAGAATGCCTGGCAAGGTACAATCGATTTTTTCGTACATGCAGTATGAAAATGTAAATAACTTCGAAAGCGTGGACAGTTGACTCCCACATGTAAATGCCATTCATAACTCGTGATTAAGAATGTATAATATAAAAAATTAAAGAGACCACCCCTCAAATGAGACAAAGACACCTAAACCCCTTTTGTGCTATGTACCGTCTCCTCTACAGCTCCGCGCCGCGACGCTTCTGGACAGCCTCGCGCAGCTTCGCGATGACCTCGCCAGGATCTTGTGCGCCGAAGACCGCTGACCCGGCAACGATGACGTTAGCACCTGCATCGGCAGCCTGATCAATTGTACCCAGGCCGAGGCCTCCGTCGACTTCGATGTTCAGATCGGGGTAGCGTTTGCGCAGGGCGGCGACCTTGGGAAGCTCCGAAGCCATGAATTTCTGGCCTCCGAAACCGGGGTGCACGGTCATGACCAGAACCATCTGTGAAACGTGATTAGTACCATTTCAATTGAAATGAGCTGGTGTGGAAGAATGGGCAATCTAGCAATGACTCACGTCTGGTCGTTCGGCGGGGTCCTCGCTCTCAACAATATCCCACAGCACATCGACGGGGGTATCGGGTTTGATAGCGATGCCAGCCTGCATACCCTGCTCGTGGATATAGCGAATCAATTGCTTGGGGCTAGTCCGAGCGGTAGTTTCCTTATCCGTAGGATCGGTCGCGGCGACGGAGGAAACAGCCGCCTCATAGTGGAAGCAGTAAAGATCGCAACCGGCCTTCTTAAACTCGACGACCCATTTATGCGGCTATAACGAAGCAAAGGACCGTCAGCGGGGAGAGCTCATGCCGGAATGACGCGGGTATGGGGAAGTCCATAACTCACCTCCATGATCATCATGTGACAATCGAAAGTGCCACGACCGCAGGGTTCGGAAGGACGATCGACGCAGCCGCGAATTTGAGATACGACAGGGCAGCCGATAGTCATATTTGGCACGAAATGACCGTCCATAATGTCGACGTGCAGCCAGTCGGCGCCCTCCTCCATCTTTTTGGAGCAGTCATGGCCCAAATTGGCGAAGTTGGCGCTGAGAATTGAAGGGGCGATGATAGCTGGAGGCGCCATGATGTTGTATGTATTGGGAGTGGGTTGGAGGGAGGAATTGGGGCGAGGAGTCTGGAGGGGTAGAGGGATGGAGGGGTTATCAAGAAAAAAAGACATGAAGCTCCCCGTGTTTACATCAGTGGCGAAGAGTGGATATAGCCGGGTTCAGCGTGAATCCCGAAATCTACAACTTGGGCTTCTTTTGCTGTATTCTTTTCTCTTTCCATCTTTCTATCTTTCTATCTTTTTATCTTTCTATCTTTCTATCTTTCTATCTTTCTATCTTCTTCTTCTTTGAAGTCTCCCCTTCTAGATACTGTCAATGTACAACCGATAGGGCTCTGACTCTCACGTGTACAATCTTGACTTCTTACAGCTAAGAAATGGATCGGCATTTCGATATCCTTGCATCCTACACACTTAGGTGATGGGAGAAAGATCTTCAAGTCTGCTGACCTTGATAGAATTAGAATCTGCGTCGAAGCTGCGGAGTTCAGTAGCCAATCAGGAAGTATATCTTCGCTTCTAAGATTATTCCTTAGCAGTCTTCTATGGATTGATCTCTCTTGAATTTCGACTTGGCTGACTGCTTGTACTAATTATATCTCTTACTACAGAGTATTTATTGGCTTGATGCTCAGTTGACTACAACGTATATACAACGCATTATAGCTTATCTCCTCTTCGCCGATCTTACGACTCATATTCTAACTGGAAGATCGGGTACGGAGTACTCCATACAAATACCTAGATCTCAATAGCCGTTAGAATAGCCGTTTCGTTACCCCAAGAGATACGTCTTAGCAAAGTGGGCCATTATCAGTGCTTGTAGCGGGGCACACTGCTCCGGAGTATAGAAGGTTTATGCTACCATCTCAATAAACTTGAATTATCATAGTATTCCTGGTCCCTAGGAGAGATCACCTCGGTTGGGTAGAGACATACCCAGTACCGCAGCCAGATTTCCGCTATCTTGTTTTGCGTCCGCTCTGTCCGTCTCCCTATGCATGGTACCCAGCCGCGAAAGATATAATAGAGGCAATGACTGCTCTCCTTATCTTTCTTCTCTCCATAAGGGAAACATTCAGTGTCCGAGATGATGTCTGAAGGGAAAATGGGAGAGCCATCAGGGTACAAAGCGAATTGTCCGGATATTGACCGCATAGAAGAACAGCCACCGAAGAATTGCATCGAACATCCGCTCCAAGCACAGTCCCAGCGTCAACATTCCGGGTCGAATTAACAGCGGTGTTAAGCGTGTTCTCTCCAGCAAGCGATTCAGGGAGTTCTGACTCCTGAGGCCCGACATAAAACGGGCTAGTCTGCTATTACTTATTGCCTTTTGACTTTGCATTGACTACGGCACAATAGAAGAGTACTTTGAGCGGGAAAATGGGAACTTTGCGAGGGAAGACTCTCGCCCACGTAGAAAATTGATGACATAGAAGAAACGAATGGAAGTGCACGAAAATTATCTCTCACAACACAAAGTCAGGATCTCTCGGACTCTCCTCCTCGAGATAAACACCCTCCTTTTTTTTTGTCTGCGTCATAACCTGGGACCACTTCCTTGGGGATTTGGTGAGTGATCGCGGATATCAAAAACCCGAAGAGAAGCATATCTGCACTCTCGAAGATGTTAAGAGGCCCGTGCAAGTGGATATGGAGAAAGGCTCTCGGCTTTTTTTTTCACCGTTTATCAGGAACTCCAGGTACTGAGGCGTAGGCTCTGATGTAAACGTAAGGTAAAGGATCCGACCTTGCCCGGTCCGGCCGTGGTTGGTTCAGTCGCTTTGCCTCTCCGTCTTTGCCGTACATCTGGTTCAGCCGGTCGTGGCCGGTTGAGGTCGCGTATCAACTCCTCCTACTGCATGGAATTAGGCATGACATCGTGGAATATTAACTTATCAGGGAGACGAGCATCGGCCATCCAACTCCCGAGGCCTCCGAAAGATCTCACAATACGTTCCCAAGTAGCACGGTCTTGGTTAAGCTCATCGGGCAACATATCTCCGACGTCTCCGGCATCCCGGGCGATATTTGAGAGGCGGGCACTCCACAAACTCTGGGGTGGCGATCGATTTGGCATCCAAAGCCTCGAGAAGGCCATCATGAGCGCATTTGATATAGTCTAGATCACAGGCAGGCCCCCTCCTGTTTTCCCGTATCTTCTTTTCCTGAACCTGCTCTCAGAGGTAACGGTCCGTGATGACCCTCCGAGGGTTGTTTCTCGGTTGATTCGGTTGCGAATATCGACTCAATCGATTGGAACTTGGATATAAGGGTCACTGACGGTCCAAGACTTGTAGGTCCTCGTTCTCATCATCTCGCTATCAATAGTTTGAATGAGAGATGGGGGGCTGCTGACTCCATTGCCCTGAGCTAGGAGAAGAGATAGGTGGGAAGAGAGATGAAGAGGAGATGTGACAACGAGGTCCCCTCTCGCAGGGGTCATGTCGATTGAGAGCAAAGGAAGAGATCAACTGAAGATGAAATAGAAGTGAGTGAAAGAAAAGAAGAGGTTGAACTGAGAGTGATATAACTAGCCCTGGAAGATGGAAGTGGTTGGGAGCCAGGTGGTGAAGGAAGGAACCTTGTGTTTGATCTTATTGAAGTAAAACATCATAGACATAAAGCATTGATTACATTAATTGCGAGCCACCAGGGCCAGAGTTAAATACATAGAGATCGATATCCCTAGATAGACCCAGTCTCAGCCAAAGAGACAGAACTCTTCCGCTTCGGCTTCATAGTCCATCCAGACAGGCAGGTCCAGCCCGCGCCACTCTTCCTCCCCTCATCAAACAGCGCACCAAGACCCTCAAGCAACATAGGTCGCTCGCGACCCATCTCCACTCGCAATTTCAGTAACCACTGCTCCCACATCCACCCTCCAATCAGTCCAGTAATACTGGCAATATCCGCCGTGCTACCAATCGGGCCCTGCACTGCCTCGTAATCTTCAATTTGGCTCTGCACACGCGGTGCCGGAGTCTCGCGCATCGGCTCCTGCTCGACGTGTTCGGTACCCATCGGGAGGAACATCCACGCGCGCTGCGTGTCGACGAACCCGCTGTTGCGGAGACGGGCGACGAAGCTCTTCGATGCTACTGGATCGTACCCACGGTTGCGCAGGTTGAAGACAAACTCCACTGATGTTGCGCTGGCGTACGGGCCCGCTCGCGAGATCTCGGCGTCAAGAACTTGGAATTCGAGGTAGCCGCCTGGCTTGAGACATCGCATGCATTCCTTCAGAACTAGGTCGTACTCGTCGCGGTCCTTGCCTGCGGGACATTCGGTCTTTAGCAGTGCGTGCAAAGATCGGGCGGAGATGACATCGAACTGGTTGTTGCCAAAGGGAAGCTCCCAGAGGTTATCCACGTTCACCTGGCGGTGATTGGGAGGGCCTTTGATGGCGCTGTTTACGGTCTGGTTCTTGGAGGCGACGGTGTAAACTTTGACATTTGGGAATTCGTACGCGGCTTGCCAGGCCCAGTCACAGGAGGACTGACCGCCGAGATCTAGGATGCGGAAGCTGCGTTTGCGTGGTCCCTGCGAGGCCTTGGGCTTTGATGAGGTTTGTGCAAGCATACGCTGGGCAGGACTTGTGAGCAGATTGCCGCCGTTGAGAGACCGAAGAGCATCCATGGCCCACATGGGCTGCGAAAGCTGAGCAAGAACCAGCTGTTCCTTCTCCACCTTGTCAAATTGGGCCTTCTCGGCCAGCTCGGAGGTAATCGTCGAGTTGCGGGGTGCCTTGGCGAAAGGACCCTTGTATGCAGGGCGCTCGGGGCGAACAAGTTCATACTTGCCCAGCAAGCAGTTGATGTGAAGGTCGTTCATAGCGAGGCGCATGGATTGGACGGCATCGAAGCGCATGTTGCGATGCATGAACCCATCTGTCTTGGTTGACTGTTCCCGAATAGACTGGAAGCCTCGCCAGTAAATTGAATCCTTGCTAGCAAGGATCGGGGGCAGAGGACTGAGGGACTCAGGGACACCCTCGACGAATCGCACCATCTTAGTGGTAGACTCTTCTGTGGTTTCTTTGGCTTCAACCTCAATACTAGCAGGCTCCTCGGATGATTCTACAGGCTCAACGTCATTCGCGGGATTTGTCTCACTAAGAGCGGAGAGGTAGGATGCTTGGGCAGACAACCAAATATTGGTCCGGTCGTGGCTCGCAACTGCACGTTCCTGCAGCTCTTGGTCATAACACTCGTCGTATTCATATCCGTTCCCAGAGCGGGGGATCTCCTGAACCTGAACTGCGTCAAATGCAGCACTCATGGGGCTATCTTGATAGATAGACCGACGAGTGGGTGTGTCACAAGGGAGTCGAATGGCAGTAAGCGGGGCCTCTTCATCACGAACAGCTGTGACTGGGTTTTCGTCAACAGGGGGCTCATGCCATTCAACTACCTGCTCAACAATATCTCCATCATCCCGACGCCAAGGAAGGTTGTAGAAACCCTCTGCAGCCGCCGACGATGGTTGGTAATTGGTGTTGGGGATTGACCACGTGTGGCGCGCTCGGGGCGCCAAAGAAGCAAAGAATCCACCAGGAGATGGAATGCTCAAATCGCTGAAACTGTAACCAGACAGCTCAGATGCGGGAGTGACCCCGTCGGCACTTCTCGGGCGGCTGGGAGGCGGCTGAAGTTGCCACATCTCGCCTTTATCCTCCGAGGTCTCAGAACACGAATCGGGTGTCTCTTCTAAGTGAATGTGGTGTAGCATTGCCAGTGCCGAGTTAGGCAGAAATGCGCCTTGGTCAATAGGCTGTGGGGCGTCGTACAAGTCATCATATTCGTAAATTGGCTCATTATTCAGATGAAAAGAAGGCGAGGGCGATGGCGAGAGCGGGGGTGAATATGCCTGGGCAGCAGTGGGAATCCGGGGGAAACTTCCCAGAACATGACGCCAGTCCTCATGCTGGGTCTCGATAGCAATGGGTACAGTATGAATGTCTGAACTGGAGTCCGCATTGTCTAGATCGCTTTCGCTTCCGTCCAGATCTCGGCGAACATGGATATCATGTGCATCCCAGTTGGTGTCTGGCAGAGATTGAGAGTCCGGTGTAGCCAATGCACTGATTATGGATTCTTGGTCCGAGGTCATGCTACCATCGAGCGAAGGCGGGGCATATGATGCAGGTACAGAACGACTGAGCATCGACAGCGCCGCTGGCGAGACTGGTATCTTGGATGGAGGCGTGGGCGGGACTGGCGAGCCCTTGAGGGACCCGGTAATTGACGGCCACAATGCAGAAGAGGGAATCTCAAGTGTCAGAGAGCGCTTCCGACTGCTCCCAGTTGAGGTCACCGAATTTCGGGTGATTGGCGTAATCAAGCTCGATGGCCGCGTATCGGGGGAAAAGCATGAATCGCTCATTTCGGTTTCATTATCGTCAATACTATCATCATCCGTGGCATCGTACAAGTCGTCGTATCCTCGGAACTCTTGCATCTGAGCCTGCCATTCTGTATCTGAGCATGACGAGGTAGTGCCGGCGGAGAGAGGCGACATTAGGCGGGCAAGGCGGGCGTGTGTTGGTACCGAAAACCCGCTGGTCTGTAACTTCAACTGCGGGCTTATAGCTGCCGGTGTAAGTCTGGACGGGGGCGAGCCTTTGGGACTGGTTTGAGCGAAATTGGATTCGCGCGTATCCTCCATTATAGTATTAAGCACCGTCCCTCGGGCCTGCCGAGGGGGCGGGAATCGTACAGTCGAGATACGGAGTGTATCGGTCATCTTGAACACCTGATCAAACTGTTGGATGTTGGTTTTGCGTGACTCGCTCACGGGAAATATCTATGGGTATCTTGACTCGTAGGAAATGGCGACACCGATCAACGGGTCTGTGAAGTGAAAGATAAAAAGCAAGATAACAATAAGAAATAAAACAGATGCAAAAGCTACCAGAGCTATAGGCACCGAGCATAAGAGAATGAAGTCCACGAAACGAAGAACGCTAGCGTTCACAGAAATTGTGGCAGTTGGGACGGGTTTATAGTCAATTGGGCGCTTTCCACCAGCCACGGGGTATGTGCAGTGAGCAGCCGATCACTCTTCAGAAAGAGTCACTCCGTTACAGAGACTAATGCAAGGTTGGGCACAATTAATCCAATCACCCTGGTCTGGAGGGTAGCAGACATTGATCTTATTGGCGGAGAGGAAATGGGCGCGTCGCGCTGGACAGGGGTTTCGCCCGTCAGCAAAGAGCCAAGGCCATTTTCTGAGCCGGAGTCCAGTAAATGAGATTCAAAATGCGAAAATGGACGAATGAGGTTCGTAGATGGTGTGACGAACCTGCCGAGAGGTGAACGAGAGTGATATGCAGTGTGAAGAGGCTGGTGATTGGCTGACTGTAGGCGCCGGGCTACTATCTTTAGTCAAATTAATCCCGTCGGAGGTGGATAGAACGTCAATTATGCACCTTTCCAGCACCGAAACAGGCAGGAAATCGTCCTAATTAATGTCATATGATGGGAAATTTGGTGAGATGAGGTAGTGATCATCGCAAAAAGAAGAGAAAAAGGAGGAAAAAGAGGGAAAAGAGGGGAAATGATCGCCAAGTCCAACAATTTAACATCTAGTGCACTATACTAATGCACGCTAGAGAAGTATAGTTCTCTTAAGATAGAAATTATATGTTAATTGACCTCATTGTCACATTTGCCCCTCATTAAAATGTGGACGATGTGACCCTAAAGGCGCGTAGAGTCCCGAACTCCAGTTCAATACATACAAATCATAGTCTTGCTTATGTTAGATATGAATCGATGTCGTACACTTTCCGGGATATGCTTTCACAAGTTGGCGCTAGGTAGTTTAGAAGTCAGCCATAGGAATTATTAAATGATAATTTCGATAAAACTACGAGCCCAAAGTTCCGCATGTCTTATGTCGTTGCAATATATCTGACACTTTGCCAGAATTATGCGTATGCAGCCAATGCATGATGATGGTTTCGTCCTCCGAGATTATTAGTGACTTTACATTGTACAAAGTAGTTCCAACAATTACGTTTCAGACCAACGGCACAATATGCATAGTGCTGCAGTGCTGAAGAATAACCCGCCCTCCTAAGCCAAGTTGATCCTCGGC